GAATCCCAGCTCCCTGCGTGGCGGTCTCCCCCGTGATGCCCTGCCCTGGGTGTCAGGCATGCCCTTACGACCTCTGGGGAGGGTGCAAGTCTAGGCCTCCCCCCCCTCCACCCCCCCCCCCATTTGCACTTCGGGAGGGAGGCGGCTGGTCTCTTCTGTGGCGTTGGGCTGGAGTAGAGCAGCTATTGTCTGTGGAGTTTCTGTCCCGTGGGCCGCCCCTTCCCAGCGCTGCCGCTTTTGTTGGGGACTTTTGTTTGCACCTGCCGGCACTTCCCGGTCGCAGGCTTCTTGAGTTCCAAATCCGAGATATAGGAGAGGCGAGGAAAGCCCAGGGGGCCAGCACGTCCCTTTCTGGGCCCCGGTCCCCCGGCCAGCCTGCTTTCTCCGCCTTTCAGAGTCTTGTTTGTTTCCTGCGTGACGTTCAGAGGAGGGAAAAAGCACATCTCGTCCATCTTCTCAGACGTGGAAGGTTCTTGAGCATTAAAAGACTTTGTTCCGGGCCGGGCGTGGTGGCTCACGCCTGTAATCCTAGCTCTCTGGGAGGCCGAGACGGGCGGATTGCTCAAGGTCAGGAGTTCAAAACCAGCCTGAGCAAGAGCGAGACCTCGTCTCTACTATAAATAGAAAGAAATTAATTGGCCAACTAATATATATAGAAAAAATTAGCCGGGCATGGTGGCGCATGCCTGTAGTCCCAGCTGCTCAGGAGGCTGAGGCAGGAGGATCGCTTGAGCCAAGGAGTTTGAGGTTGCTGTGAGCTAGGCTGACGCCACGACACTCACTCTAGCCTGGGCAACAAAGCGAGACTCTGTCTCAAAAAAAAAAAAAGACTTTGTTCCGTTCTGTTCTCCTGAATAGAGGTCATTTCTACTGACCTGTTTGCAACGTCACTGATGTCCCTCTGTCACATCCATTCTGCTCCTGGGCCCAGCCGGTGACTTTTCAGTCTCAGATACTGCGCTCTGCGGCTCTGACTCTTCCACGTGGTTGCCAGAGTTTCCGTCTCTCTCCTGAGAACCTCTGTCTTTCTGTTCACTGTAAGGAAGTGCAGCTATGCCTGAGCGAGCTTGGCCGTGACAGCCGACTCACGTTTCCTCTGGTGACGCCAACACCAGGGGCAGCTCGTGTTTGACGTCTGTCCCCCTTCTTTGTTCCCTTGAGAACGTGGCTGTTTCCTGCCTCTGGACGTGTCCATTAATTCTGGGTTATTTCCTGGACATTTGGAATAGTACGTTGTGAGGCCGCATCCTGTTAAAATCCTCCGGAGAATTTTTCTTTGTTAAAAGCCGAGTGCCCAGCCTGGGTGGGCGCCGGCGGTGAGTCTGTCTCACCCGGTGGGGGAGGCGGGCTCGCAGTCGCCCCAAGGCTCTGAGCGGTCCCCGGGGTCCTGTGGCCCCCATCTCGTCCCCAGGAGGGGAAGGCTGACGCAGCGGGATTTCCCGCGGCCCGAGGCGAGAGTGTGGGTGGGGCCGGCAGGTGTCCTGTGTGTTGCGGTGCCAGCTGGCACGGCCTCTGGTTGTGCTGGTGTCGTACAAGCAGGTCTGGGGTCAACCCAGCACGTTTCCTGGACCCACAGGCTGGGGACACTCACAGGGGCACAGGGTCTGCCCTGCCCCGAAGGCCTTCTAGATGAATAGGAAAAGCCACCGTCTGGCTTGGCGCTTCTGTGTCGGTCCTAGCAGAGCACCTGGTGTGCTGCCGGGTGTCGAGACGGCCCGTGCGGCCTCACCTGCACTGCGGCCTCGTGTTGCTGGTGGCCTGTGGAGGCTGTGCCCCTAACCAGCCGGGTGGCGCTGGGGAGGCCATCCAGGTGGTTCTCCAGCTCCACGCCTGCCTCCCAAGGGGGCTTACACGCAATTACAGCCACCAGCCGTCACCCCCCGGGTCCGCACCGGATCTCCACAGATGGACGCGGAGCTCCTCGCCGTCAGGGGCCTGCCTCGTGGGCGCTGTTCTCCTCGACGCCGGAACAGTGCGGCCAGACGGTGGCATCGCCCGTGCTGGCTGGTGCGACTCCCGGGTGCGTGTGGCACCTGGTGATGCCGGCAGGCCCTCTTCCCAGCTCACCTTTTCAGCCCCGGGCAGGTGCTGGCGAGTTCAGCAAGGCAGCCCCAGCATGCCGCGGCGCCGCGCAGAGCCGCTTCTAACGCCGGCAGCTGAATCATCCGAAGGCCAGTCTCGGCACGCGGCAAGTGACATCTGCCGCCAGCCCCGACACGGATCTGCCGGTCCAGTCTGGAGACGCCTTGCGGCGCAGCGCTGTGCCGCGGACGCCACGTGGGTGTCGGCCTTTCCCGCCTCACTCCTGGCGCCGAAAAAACGGAGGGCTGTGTCGGGGCGGCCGTGGCGGGTGGGGAGGGGACAGGAACAGCTGGACCACTCTCAAGGAGTCGGTGACTGCGCGGTGTTTCTGGACTCCCCGTGGCAGTCGGGGGCAGTGCTGTTTTTTGGCCTTACTTTGCACAGGCGTCCAGGCGTGCCTTTACTTTTTAGTGACGTCAGGTGACATCCGCGGGTGTTTACAGAGCGGCGTGCCGGCGGGGAAATGCCTCTGCCTCGTGTCACTGCAGGGGGGTCGGGACTCGCTGCCAGTTCTTCCTCCGGCCCCCGCGGTCCCCGTGCATGTGGGCGGCCCCAGACTCCCGCACTGAGCCTCACACCGCTCTGGCGGGCAGGGCAGGCGGGGCCAGCTCTCTTGCTCCATCCCCTTCCCTGCCTCCCCCACCGAGGCTCACGCTCCTGAGGAGCCCCGGGGGGCCGCGTCCCTTGACTGTGCACTTGTTTTTGTTCTTGCCGCACATCCCACGGGGCAGGTGGCACCTGGGGCCTCCTAGGTGGCCGCGGGAGGCCCGGCTGAGCAGCCTGCCCCTCCCCGCCTTGCCCCTGGCCCTGCTGAGCGGGCGTGTTTGTGTGTCTGCACACGGCACACCTGTGTCCCTGTCACACTAGCAGCCCTCGTGACACACGGGAAACCCGTGGGCCCCCGTGCTGGGGGTGGCGCTGCTGTGTGTGGCCGGTCGAGTCCAGGAACTTCTGGATCAAAGCTGGTTAAGCCGATTGGCGGCACGCACTGGTCTTCCTCTGCGAGTCACAGTCACGGAATAGACTTAGTGAATGGTGATGAGCACTCACAGACAGATAGAACAGGCTCGGAAGAGAGGATGCTGGAAGCAGAGCCCTCTCAGCCGCCCCGGCAGGCCCTGCACGGAGTGCTGCAGTCCCGCCGGGTCTGCAGAGAGGGGCCTGCGAACTCCTGGGCCGACCGGCAGCCAGCGGTCCCGGCTCACGCGCCGACGTGGCCGCCGGTTTTTCTGGAATGTGACGGCCACTCGATTGTCGACCTTACTGGGGCTCACTGCTTGTCAGCGTGTGAGGGGCGCGACAGGGGATCTGTCTGTGGTCAGCAAAAGCGCCCAACCTTTCAGCTGAGACTGGGTTACAAATGTCCAGTCCATTTTGGGGAAGGGCTTTATTGAATGAGAACTTTTTTTTTTTTTCAGTGTGTAACAGTTGTAATATTTGAAACAGTAGTAACTGTCCTGAGCGGGTTGTTTATTATTACTATTAATATTATTAGGAGAAAAAGTCATGACAAACTGAAAAATACAGAGGCATGTTCAAGGTCAGCTGTAGGATCTGAAAATGAGGGTGACAGTCGACTCTCAGACTTCTAATTCGTTTGTGCTCTGTTCTGGAAGGACGTGAAAGATATTTAAAATAACAGCTGTATCAAATGCCCAACACCCCCAAAAAAGACCTGCCCTGATGTGTTAGCTGGAAGGACGTTGTTATAAACGAAAACTTCAGACTTGCAAAGTTAAAGGTAGTCCAGCGCAGCTCGCTGTCCTGGCTCGCTTGAGTATTATTTAAAAAAACTCTCTTCTCCTTAGCCAATCTGAGTTGTTCTGTGGCTGCCGGTGTCCACACCTCGTCGGGCGCACGTCCTGCTGCCGGGGCGTGGCTGAGCAGTGCCGCTGGTGGGCAGGCTCTCTGGGATTAGGATGGGTGGGAAACGGCCCCTGGGGAGGCGGGGCCCGCACAGGTGCGCCAGTGGGGGTGGCGGGTGGCGGGGGCCGCACCTGCTGCCTGCCCGTGGCCGGCTCGCTTTAACTTGCGGAGGACGTTTTGAGTGGACTTCCCAAGCGCTGGTGCTGGGTGCTGCCAGGTGCCGACTCTGCCCTGGATGTGACATTCGACTTGTTTGCCCCCGTTTCCATGACTGTACGATGGGAAATCGTGGATGGGGGGAATCGTGACAGTTCTGTTGCCGGTTTTGTAGGCAGCCTGGGAAGCTGGCCCCAGATTATAACATTCTGTATCGTGAACCCCTGTCAGCAGTTCCCGAGTAAGCTCTGGCACACGGGCTGTGCAACCCGGCTTCGCTGTCTTCCCTGCTCTGTGCTCCCCTGGCGGTCGGGGGATGGGGGGTGTTCCTTCAGCCCAGGCGCAGTTACTGCCCGCGCTGTGATCACAGCTGCCGCTGAACACGCCCAGGGTGGCAGGCGTGGAATCTGCCCTTCCCCGGGCTCTGTGGGGGACGATGTCCAGCGCCGTCGTCCCCAAGTGCCCCCTGCTCCTCCTTCGCCCGAGTGGACCCGCTGTGGCCGTTCCAGACCCCACCCCGTGGCAGGGCCCTGACGGTCTCCCCTGTGCTCCCCGTGTCTCTGGCTGCCCCGCGTCCCGCTACGTTCCTTCCGCTCGGATGTCCCAGCCAGACGCTGTCCTGAGGACAGGCTCCGTGTCTTGGACGTGTCTCCCCTAACTCAGCACGGCCCCTAGCCGGCCCCGTGGCCGAGGGGATGATGTGGAGAGGCGCGGCCGGCCTTCGGCGGCGCTGCTGGGCGGGACAGCTGCCCTGCCTGGTAACGCCGGGCCGCCCGTGGTCATTTAGCTCAGAGTTAAAAAGTGACAAGTACCTTCCTGTTAATTTTTGGATTTCTGATGGCAGCGTCCAAGCAGCACGTGCTCAGCCTCACGGACACGCGGCGTGTGTTTTACAGATGCCTGGTCCGTGCCGGTAGCCGAGATCATCGCCGTGGAAGAAACAGACGGGAAGCTCGGCGGCGGCGGTGCCGGCCGGTGGCAGAAGATGGAGACGCCATTCGCATTCACAGGTGACGGGGCGCGGCGTCTCCCCGCCATGCCCCGCTGGTCCGCACAGACTCGGGAGGGAGCCCTGTCGGTGGTTTGCTTGGCAAACTCCGGGGGTTGGCTCGTCTTCATAGACTCTTGCCGCTGATTTTTCCAGGATCTACTTGTAGCTCATGTTTTGGTTGATGATCATCTTTATTTCTTCTTCTTATTTTTTTTAACATGGCTTAAAAGATGTGAAAATAGGATTTTTTTTTCTAATGTACCTTGAAAGTTACTGAGCAGTTAAAAAAAAGAGAGAGAGAGAGAACCGCTGGGGAAGTTTCGGCCGTGAGCCCGTAGTTCGCACACACGTGGGGCGTGTTCACGCGGGGCCTTGTGGGCCGGGCCGGGCCGGGGCTGACACGCGTGCTTGTTTCCGTGCAGTGCACTGTGTGAAGAGAGCCCGGCACCACCGCTGGAAGTGGGCGCAGGTGACGTTCTGCTGCCCGGAGGAGCAGCTGTGCCGCCTGTGGCTGCAGACCCTGAGGGCCATGCTGGAGGCGCTGAGTACGTGTTTGCGCGGGCGGGCGGGCAGGCGGGCCGCGCGGGGGCCGCGCGGTGGGGGGGTTTGCCGGTCCCCCTCGCAGCCGCGCTCCCTCCGTACGGCTCCTCACGCCCACCGTGGACGTGCTGAATCTGTCTGACTTCTTAAAAGTTTACGAGTTAGGCCGGGCGCGGTGGCTCACGCCTGTCATCCCAGCACTCTGGGAGGCCGAGGCGGGAGGATCGCTTGAGCTCAGGAGTTCAAGACCAGGCTGAGCAAGAGCGAGACCCCGTCTCTACTAAAAAAAAAAATAGAAAGAAATTAGCCAAACAACTAAAAATAGAAAAAATTAGCCGGGCACGGTGGCACCTGCCTGTAGTCCCAGCTACTCGGGAGGCTGAGGCAGGAGGATGGCTTGAGCCCAGGAGTTTGAGGTTGCTGTGAGCTAGGCTGACGCCACGGCACTCACTCTAGCCTGGACAACACAGTGAGACTCTGTCTCAAAAAAAAAAAAAAAAAAATGTTTACTAGTTAGGGGACCGGCGGAGTGAGTGCCGAGAGTGTGGGCTCCACGGCCCGGGCCCTGCATGGAGTTGCAGCCCCCCGCGGGGAAATCCTGACCCTGGCGTGCCGTCCGAGCCCCCAGCTTACCTGCCGGGAGACCTGAGGCCGTTCGCTTGGCCTCCTGAGCCCTGGGTTCTGTTTCGGGAAGTGGGGGCGGTGGCAGCTCCTGCATTCAAGATGAATGTGGAGATGGGACCTGCTACCTGCAGGAGTGCCCCCTTACCTGTGGGGGACACGTCTGCTTGGCAGGGCAGCAGGAGCCTGAGGGCGGTTCCTGTGTGCCGAGTCACAGCAGCTTCTGTGTCACCCTTAAGCAGTGGTAGGAGCCGGGCGTGGTGGCGCACGCCTGTAGTCCCAGCTGCCCAGGAGGCTGAGGCAGGAGGCTCGCTTGAGCCCAGGAATTAGAGGCTGCGGTGAGCTGTGATGGAGCCACTGCACTCCAGCCTGGGCCACAGAGCGAGACCCCGTCCCTCGCCCGTCCCAAAGAGAAAAGTGGTAGGTGTTCATCCGTTTGGTGTCCATGACACTAGTTTATGTTGTTTGGTTATAACCTTAACACACAGTCTCGACCTCGACAACTCAATATAGGCTTCAGCCGTAGACTAGGGATAGCATGTGTTCGTGTTAGTTGTACATCGTTTTGAGTTAGTTTGTCATCTACCTTAAAAAAGTGAGTTTCGGTGTATTTGAAGGAGGTATTCAGATATTTAGCTTCAGAGAAATGTCCTTGCTGGAAAAAGCACAGCTTGTGATTCTCACCGGGGCGGGGGACCTGCCTTCCTGCACTTCTCTGCTTTAGCCCGTGGGATGAGGTCTTCGCTGCCCGCTGCGGGAACGAGCCCAGGCTGACCTTCCTCACGTCTCAGCCCACCACGACCTCTGTCCCCGTCCCCGTCCCTGTCCCTGTCCCTGTGTGCCGGGCCACGGCTTCTCTGCCTTCTCCCCACTGGGCTCCAACCTCCTCTGCCCCGTCCACACCTGCTCCCCACCCGACCTCTCCTGTCCCATCTGTCTGTCCTCATGAGACTTTGACTTTTAAGGCTCCGGGTTTGGCTCTGTAGGTGCAGATTCCAAGAGAAAATCCCCGTGGAATAATGTGGGTTAATTTTTTCTATATAATTCCCAGGAAAGCCCGTGTGTCGCCCCTTTGTGATAGTCCACTTACTTGTGTCTAAAAGTAGTGTGTGATCCTACCGTTTCAGCTGCTCTGCAGTCGTAACTTGCAGTGAACGCTGCCATCCCTTTCCATGTTTTGCCGGCGCGTAACAACAGAGAAGCGCTCACATCCTGGTGAATTTTCACACTGAGCGCACTCGCGCACCAGCACCCTGCCCGAGAGACGGCGGGTGGCCAGCCCCGGGGAGCCCCCGCCCCTGTGGTCTCGCCCCCCCCCCACACACACCAGGGTGACACCAGCTGGACATCGGAGCAGCTAGATCCGTGTTTGTGCTTCTGCACAGCACGTCACACGGTGTAAACGCTCCCGTGTCTGGCTTTGTGCCGGGCATCGTGTTGGTGAGATTCGCCCACCGTCGCCTCTGGTTGCAGGTGTGTGGTCATCGGGTGTGTGGTCATCGGGTGTGTGGCCATCGGGTGTGTGGTCATCGTCTTGGCGCGGTGTGGCGTTCAACAAGGCGCCCGTGTGGCCGCTCATCCGCCCGTTTTGCCGTTGACGGTCCCCGTGTGGGCAGCCACAGATGACAGTGCCGTGTTCGATCTGGTACGTGCCTTTTTGAACACGTTGAGCTGCTCCCCATTTTAGCCGTGGTGGTGAGCGCTAGCCTTGATTTTGGCTTTGGTTTGCGTTCCCACGATGGTCGGTGCAGTTGAGAAACACATTCGTGTGCGGATGGGCCGTTTGGATGTCCTCCTTGGAGGTTTCTGCTCTTCTGTCCGTTTTTCTGTGTGGTTGTCTCTTTTTCTTAGTGATACGTAGAAGAAACTCTCTGCACATGATAGATCTGAACCTTTCACTGAATTTGTGAATTGGAAGATATCTTCTCCCAATCTGTGGTTTGCCTTTTCACTCTCTTATTGGGGTCTTTTTTGTTTTGTTCTGTTTTTGGGGACGGGGTTTCGCTCCTGCTGCCCGGGCTGGAGTGCAGTGGCGTTTATTCGGGTCTTTTGACGAACAGAGGTTCTTCATATCGCTCCATTTATCTTTTTGTTGTGGTGGTGGTGGTGAATTTATTTTTATGCTTTTGTAAAAACTTTATGGTAAGATTATATGCTATTTAAGACATCTCTGTCTCCTCCAAGGTTGTAGAGATGTTTCATTCTCAAGGCTTTGTTGTTCAACCTGTGAATGTAGATGATCAGCCATTTGGAATTGATCTTTGTGTGTGGTACGAGGTGAGTGGTCAAAGTTCGTTTTCTTAAAATATAAATATCCGCTCGGCCCCGTGCCGTTTATGGGGAAGGCCGTCCTTTCCCCTGCTGCACTGCGGCGCCACCATTGCTTTTTTATTTTCTATTGCTTGTGTCTGGAAATGTCATAGAATTACGTATTTCACCTCGCACCCCGTGACCTTGCTAAGCTAGTTTATTAATGCTAATAGTTTGGTGGTTCTTTCAGATTTCGGTCAAACACAAGCGTGTCAGCTGTGCGTGATGACAGTTCTGTTTCTCCAGTGTCAGGTCTTCTCTCTTTTGTTTCTTTTTCTCACGTGTTTGCCCCGTCCGGACCACCAGAGCAGGGGGCGGCAGCGTCCTTGTCCGGGTCCCGAGGGCCGGGGACGGTTTCAGCATTTCACCACCAAGAGTGATGCTTCTTAGCTCGTTAGTAGATTTGTGAAATCAGATTAAGGGGATTCCCTTCTAATCCTAGTTTGCTGAGAGTTTCGGGTGTTTTCAAATCACGAAAAGGGGGAATTGAATTCGATAAAAATGCTTTTCTTTTTCTGCATCTGTTGAGATGATTATTTGATCCTTTTTGAGTTAATATGTTGGATTGCATTAATTTCTCCTTGCGACAACCCTTTACATTCCTGGAGCAGACACAGCCCTCGTGGTGATGCTGTATCTTTCCATATGTCACTGACTTGCCGGTGTTTCGTTCGGGACTTTTGCGCTTGGGTCTGCCAGGTCCCTTTCTGGTGACATCCTTGTCGGGTTCCGCCCCGAAGGCCACAGCGGACTCACACAGAGAGCTCAGACGTGTTTCTTCCTCTTCTTTCTGTTCTCTGCACGAGTTGAGGCTATTTTTTTTCCCTTAAAATGTGCTTTGCCTAAGAAAATGGTAAAATACCGTGAACTGGACAAATCCCCAGTTTCAGTGAGCTGCGAAGCCGCGCACCTGTGCAGCACACGCCGTCAAGACCGAAGTCACCCAGCAGATGGCCCCGGCTGGCTTTGTCCCCTGTTGTCCCTCCTGCTCTAGACCTTCACAGGGCAGAATCACATAACGTGAGCTCTGTGTGTGAGGCCTTGGTGGCATGCCATCTGCGACGTTTCTCCACATTGGTAGTGTGGCTGCGGGTTACTTTCGTGACTGCAGAACGCTCCGGGTGTGGACAGACCGCACGGTGTCTGTGCATCAGCTCTTGGATATTTGGGTCGTTTCCTCTTTTTGGCTATTGTGGGAAGTGCCACAGCGGACATTTGTGCCTCGGTTTCCCCGAGGAAACATTTGGGCCGGGTCTCAGGAGGGCCTGAAACCGGGCCGGGGAGGGGGGAAGGGGCCTGCGCCTCCCTGTCTGTCCACCCCTCCGGGGGGCTGCTCCCTCACGCTTTCTCCTCCTGTGCCCGCCCGTCTGCCTGTCTGTCTGTCTCTGTCGCCCCTCTCTGCACGTCTGCTTCCTGCCCCTTGTCCTCTGCAAACCGGCTCCCCCCACGTGCCGCAGAACGAGGCTGCTGCCCGCCGGAGTTGGCGCCTGAGGCTCTTGCGGGGAGGGGCGTCTTCCTCAGTGAGGATTGTCGTCCCCGGGACCGTCCTCACAGCCAGCCCAGCAGGTGTGGCGGCACCTGCAACTCTGACCGCTGCCGCCTCTCTGGGTTTGCGGACTGGGAAGCTCTTTGCCCCTGTTCTCTAAGATCTGAAAATACTTTTTATGGGGCGACACTAAGAATTCCAAAACCATCGTGGTTTGCTTCTGTCCAGTAACTTGGCTCAGTTTTGACTCTGTTGTTTTCACTGTGACTCTCGCGTTGCTGTGGCCGCCGTGCAGCGTCCAGACCGAAGCACCTGCTGGTGTTCATCAACCCGATCGGAGGAAAAAGGAAAGGCAAGCGGGTCTACGAGCAGAAAGTGGCGCCGCTGTTTGCGCTGGCCTCCATCACCGCCGACGTCATCGGTGAGCTCGCTTCTGTGCCCCGCGCGCGGAGGCAAACCCGAGAGTGATTGACAGGTAGTCACGGGAGAAGGTTTGCATTATTTTAAGCAGAATAGAATTTTTTTTTTTTTAATATTGCAGAATGAGAAGAATGCAAAGTAAAGAAAGCGGTCTTTCCCAGGCATGCCTTACCATATGAAGCGCTCAAGAAAAACACTAGGAAGATAAAAGGAAGAAATCAGGGGCAGAAAATTCTTGCAAGAAGAGATACAAGGGATTAATAAGTCTTAGAAATGATCTCACCAGTAAGGGACATTGTAGGAAACATAATTCGACACACAACTGTGGCAGCGAGTTTTCAGTGCAAATGCTAGATGCAAGGGGGTGCAGAAAGGCCGGGTTCTCTTCCCTTCCTCAGGGTCTGAAGGTTTCGTGAACCTGCAGTAAGAAGTTACCTGGCAGCCAGGGGCGGTGGCTCACACCTGTCATCCTAGCACTCTGGGAGGCCGAGGTGGGAGGATTGCTTGAGCTTAGGAGTTCCGAGATCAGACTGAGCAAGAGCGAGACCCCGTCTCCACCAAAAATAGAAAAAAAATTAGCCAGGCTTGATGGCTCACACCTGTAGTCCCAGCTGCTGAGGAGGCTGAGGAAGGAGGATCACTTGAGCCCAGGAGTTGGAGGCTATAGTGAGCTATGATGATGCCACTGCACTCCAGTCTCACTCTGTCTCAAAAAAAAAAAAAGTCACCTGGCAATGTGGGTAGAGAGCCGGAAAAATGAAGGGGGTTTTTTTGCCCAGTATTCTATGTTTTCTAAATCTTTCCAAGGAAGACAGTCTGGGGTACACAGAGATTGGGGTACACGGATGTCTGTTGCCCTTCTTTTTATAACAGCAAAGCATTAGAAACAAATGCTCTAAACAGGAAATATAAGCCTACAGTTGTGGTGAATCTGAAGGAATACTACGTAGCGCCTTCAAATGGTCTTTATAAAGAATTTTCAATGATAGAAAAGTGATTGTGATACAGTGGGAAAGCAAGGACACAAAATTGTGTGTGCAGCAGAATCTTAGTGGAAATTCATATTGGGTATAGAGACTACAGGCCACCCTTGTCTCCTTTCTGTATTTTGGTATATTCTACAATTTTGAAAGTAGCTTGTATAACAAGGAAAAAGTAGAAAGTAGAAGATGTCGTCTCTCTCAAAGAAAGTTCTTATTCGTTGGCAGTTAAATGCCACGAATGCCACGTCCCGCCCAGTAGCCTGCGTCCTTAGGGGGCCGCGTCCCACTGAGGTCGGCCCGATCCCATCTCAGAAGGGGTTTTGTATAGGAAACCCCGCTGTGGGTTTTATGGGACCTCATTCGAAAGGAGTGGTTTATTTGCCTTTTAATGTAAGTGAAGATGCACAGATGCGAACGTAAACCGTATGGTGTACTGTTTTTCCCCTGCAGTGACTGAACACGCCAATCAAGCCAAGGAGACTTTGTATGAGATCAACTTGGAGAGCTATGACGGGTGAGTAGGCTGCTTCAATCTTCATTCGTCAGTAGTCAGGTCTAATCAGGCCCCACCCCTCCCTCTTAGATTTTTTTTTTTTTGTTACCTCCCTTTCCTTAATTTATTTTTTTTTTCCTCATTATAAAAGTAAACATGCTTTTTGTGGAAAGTTAAGAAAAGGCAGAAAAGTGCAGAGTTCCACAGTCGTCCCCACCCACTGGGCGAGAACCACAGAGGGTTCTGTGTCCTGCGGAGTCTTTCGCGAGACGTGTTTACACAGCTCTGTGTAGACGGAGAAATAAATCAGCCAGGCGCTTTGTCGAGCAAAGTTGGGACGACGTCATTTTTACAGTTTGGGATTCTGCTCTTCTCTTGTATTGTGAGCAATTTCCCATGTCATTAAAGATTCCCCCGAAATATTATTGTTGATACCTGTATCACGTTTTATTATATGAATATACCATAATTTATTTAACTAGTCTCTCACTAGTAGATGGTTAGATTCTCTCCAATTTTTGCTCTTACAGTAAACTAGAATTCTTGTATATGAGTCTCTCTGACACATCTACACTTTCTTGAAGGTAAATTCGTAGAAATGAAATTAACTGGCCATAGGTGATTAGCATTTTAACATTACTGCTACTGTTACTGCCACGTTGCTTTCTAAAAAGATTCCATTAATTTACGTTTTTTCTTGTATAGTGTATTATCCATGGTCCTGGCCAGTGTATTTGCTATTATCACTCTACAAATTGCCTGCTAATTTGACGTGTAGGAGTCTTTAATCTTTTGAGCAGTATGCTTATTGGCTAACTGGTTTTCTTCTTTGAATTGATTTTTATGTCTTTGGCCCATTTTCTTCTATTGGCCATAATTTTAGTCATTTGTTCTTTTATCCAGCAAATAATAGGCAATTCATATTTATTGTTAGATTTGTTTTTGAAACATTTGTCCTAGTTTTGAAGTGGTCTTTTAATTTTGCCTATGGCATTTTTTGGACCAGTGGAAGTTTTCAAATTCAAGTGCTCAGATTAGTAAGTCATTCTTCCTGCTGAGCTTAAACATTCCCCTGCTTAAACATTCCGCCTTTTGTTTTCTTCCCTCTGTTCCATCTGGAGTTTTGTGAGCATGTGTTATAAATTACAGTGTGAATATTTCTGGAAATCCTCATTCATTCCGCAAACACGGCTGAGTGCCTGCCAAGCCCCATGCCTGTGTCGGTGCTGAGCTTAGACAGGGAGGTAGAACTGGCCCCTGCCCGTGTGCAGACAGGGAGAAGAACGCTCTCCCCCTCTCCTGAGTGTGGGGGTGTGGGGGGTGTTGGGGAGCCCTGGGACCAGGCAGCGCCCCTCCACGCACTGCACCTCCAGCTCCACCCCGACTGCAGCCTGGTCAGGAAAATCACAGAATCTTCCTTCACTTCCCACTTCCTTCACTTCCCCTCGGTCGCAGGACCTCACCCGGCCTCCTGGGCACACGCCTTCCCCTGGGCACACGCCTGCCCCTGGGCACACGCCTTCCCCCGGCCACGTGCCTGGCGGGAGGCCGGGAGGCCCGGCAGTGATGGCCGGCCGTTCCTTCTGCGGCTCGGTCATTTACCCGAGTGACTCGTGGGCATTTACTGAGTGCCCGCCCCAGGGTGCCGGGTGTTGTCGTGTTGGACATTCTAAGGTGCCCGAGCCGTGGCGCCGAGACCACAGCCCAGGTGGGGGAGGCGACCCCGGCACGGCCTGCGGGTCATGGAGGGGAGGGGCCCGGGGGCTCTGCACACGGGAGCTGCACGTTAAAGCGCGTGCCCCCGCCCCTGCTTGTGCAGCCTGTGCGCAGCCGGACCCACCGGAGGGCAGCCAGGCACTCTGACCGCTCCCACTCAGACCCGAAGGGGCCCCTCCCCCACTCCCCATGCTCCCCCCACCCCGCCACGGACTGCCGTTTTGCTACCCTCTCTTCCCACCTGCAGCCCACCCTGCCTCTCCTCCCAGCTGTGCCGAGCCCGCGGGTCGCCATAGGCCATGAGGTTGCCCAGTGAGCTCGAGGCCTGTCCTTTGCCCCGCTCTGTGACGCAGTGCCGCGTCTGTGCCATGCGTGCACACGCCTCTCCGCTCTGTCACCCTGGCGCTGTGACGCAGTGCCGCGTCTGTGCCATGCGTGCACACGCCTCTCTGCTCTGTCACCCTGGCGCTGTGACGCAGTGCCGCGTCTGTGCCATGCGTGCACACGCCTCTCCGCTCTGTCACCCTGGCACTGTGCCCCCATGGGTCGTCCCCCACCGCTGCCTTCCAGCCACGCCCCCTTTCTCCGCTTCCTCGCCCTGCCTTTTCCTGTGCACCCATTCCCCCCAGCGCGTGTTCGGTCCCCCCTGCTCCTGTGTTTTGGGCCCCCAAGACCACCCACGTGGCTGGTGACGTGGGCGTGTAGCTGTGCCCCAGCTAAGCTTTGTCCCGGGACGTAGCCGAGTCAGCAAAGGAGAAGGACGCCTGTGCGCAGGCTTCCGTGCCCTCTGCCCCCCGAGGGTCTCGCAGGCTGCACTCTGGGCTCAGCCGCACAGGGCTGGGGCTTCCGCCCTGCAAGCGTGAGTCTCCAGGCCCAGGGTTTAGGCTTTTGGCGGGGGCCAGTCACACGGGGCTCTCAGGCGGCCACCAAAATCGCAGACTCCCAGGAGGAAAGCCGGCGTTTGCCGGGGGTCACCTTGTTTGCAGGAGCGGTCCGGGCAGGCCGGACCCCGGCACCGGCCGCGGGCCACGCTTGCCAGCTGCCCCTCCGGCCGAAGCCGGAGCCTCGGGCCTGCGGTGTCCGGGGCCCGGCCCCTGACGCCCGTGTCCCCCTCCATCCCCGCAGCATCGTGTGCGTGGGCGGCGACGGCATGTTCAGCGAGGTGCTGCACGGCCTGGTGGGGAGGACGCAGAGGAGCGCGGGCGTGGACCAGGACCACCCGAGGGCCGCGCTGGCGCCCAGCGGCCTCCGCATCGGCATCATCCCCGCGGGTAGGCAGCCCCGCCCCGCCCCGCCCCGCCCCGCCCCGCCCCGCCCCTGGGGTGGCTCTGTGTGAGCGGCCACCGGGGACAGTGAGCGATCCGAAGGAAGTCCTCCTTTAACTGGCACAGATTCCTAGTCGGGCGCTTTGGGGGGAACAGCGTTCTTGCTTTGTCCTTCACTTCCTTATTCAGATGGTGATTTTATCGCAGTGTGCAGCCGTTGCATTCTTTTGAGGGAAAGTTTTCGAGCAGTGACACGAGCCCTTGGGGGGCCGCTTGTCCTGTTCCGAGGACAAGGACGGCCGCCCTTGTGGAAGGCGCTGGGAGGCGGTGCCGGTGGGCGTGGGAGGCTGCCTTCCTTCCCCGGGCGAGGGGTCCCGGTGGCAGGGCAGCATCTGCAGGGAGCAGCTCCTGGCTGACCTGAAGCGCATGGGGGGAGGTGCGGGCGGGGCAGAGGGAGTCCGCCCGCCCACGGGAGGGTGACGGGAGGGTGACGGGAGGGTGACGGGAGGCACAGAGAGGGAAGGCGCGGTGGGATCCAGGGCAGGGCCTTGCCAACCGAGCGGGGAGCTGGGCTCTGTCCGGAAGGCGCCGGTTTGGCTTGGGGCACTTAGCGTCTCTCCAGGAAGCACCTTGCCCTTCAAAACAATCACAGTGTTAGGCTAAGTCAGGCAGGCAGGCGCAGCGGCAGCCGCGGGTGCTAGCGGGCGCGTTGCGGGCGGCCCCATAAGCAGCTATGAGACGTTCCTGCAGGATCAGTCTCGACTGTTTGGATGGATCGACCCTAATATTTTCTAGATGCATTTTGTAGGCAAGTTCCTTTTGCTTCTTCTGTTTACTCCGGGACCACGGAAGCAAAGGGACAGGGTGCCAGGGCTCAGCCGGAGGCCCCGTTGCAGCTCCCGACTGCTGGGATGCTGTTCAGGACCTTGTCTCCCCACCCCACCCCCCGCAGGGTCGACAGACTGCGTGTGCTACTCCACCGTGGGCACCAGTGACGCGGAGACCTCGGCCCTGCACATCGTGGTCGGTGAGTCCCTTCCTCGCCCTGCACGCCACGGCAGCGCCCCGGGGCCCCCGGGCAGCTCCCTCACCCACCCACCCCCGTCTCATCAGTGGGGTCTTGTAAATCCACAAGCCCCTGGCGCCACACCCCTGCCCAGAGCCCCGGGTGACTGGCCGGGCCTCCCGCTCTGGCCCGCCACCCTCCTGTCCCAGAATGCACCACGCCGCGCTCTGTCCCGGGGCTCTGCCCGCCGCCTCCGGTCCCCACGCGGAGCCCACTCCAAGGCCGCCTGGTCGGCGCGGGCTTCCCGGGCCCCGGACCCCAGGGATAGGCGAGGCCCTAGGTCCCGAGTCATTTTCTGCCCAGGATCCGTCAATTCCACGATGGTCTCACTCATTCCACCTTTATCCCCTCACTGACCCCCAGGCCGGCTGTGCCCTGAGGGCTGCCCATGGCACCCGCGGGGTCTGGGCTGTGCCTGGGGGACCGGGGTCGACTCCCCGCTCCTCGTGAGGTGCCCGGGGGGCTGGCGGACACCCCAGGGGCCTGCCCCGAGCCGGGGTCGGGAGGTGAGGAGGGGCCGGAGCTTGTCTGGCACTTGCATGACAGATGCGGGCCCACCTCCCATTCCTTGTCCCAGTTTACAAGGTCACCGTGTCTGTCCTGATGTCACCGACATTGTATGTTTAAAAATAGCCACTCAGGACTTTGTGTTTAAAAATAGCCATTCACGACCTTTTCTTCGTTCTGGAATCCCCCTTCCCCTAATGGATGACGTTTCTTGAGCCCCAGGGACACATCTGTGCTGTCCCCGCAGAACGGCCTCCGGAGCCTGCCTCTGGGAGTTTGAGTCACACTCTGTCCTTTGAATCAGAAACAGGGGTCCTGGCATCCCGAGAGCAAGGGTTGCGGCGGCGAGCGTTTCCCGTCTGTGCCCTTCGAATCGAGCGGCTCCTCTGTCTGCCAGGCCCGGGGACAGGGACGGGGACGGGAGCCCGGTGGGGGTTGGGGTCTCCTCACTGGGCTTCTCCCCCCCCCCCACAGGGGACTCGCTGGCCATGGACGTGTCCTCGGTGCACCACGGCGGCACGCTGCTGCGCTACTCGGTGTCCCTGCTGGGCTACGGCTTTTACGGGGACATCATCAGGGACAGCGAGAAAAAGCGCTGGATGGGGCTAGCCAGATACGACTTCTCAGGTGACTCGGGGCGCCGGGCGGGGCGGACACCAGGCAGGTGTGAGGCTCGTGCCCTGTGACGCTCGCTCGCGCCGATGGCCTCCGCGGGCCCCGCCCGGCGCAGCCACACAGCGCTGTCGGGGTGGGGCCCCCCACTCCCCGTCGGGGAGCCACCGCGGGCCCCGCGTGCTGTCCCGTGGCCGGGGCGTGGCGGCGCTGGTCGGGAGCCTGGGCTGGGCTCTGGGCCCTGCTCCCCAGCCCCACCACACAGGCTCGTGTGGCCACGCGCCCGGGAGACGGCACGGCTCAGAGCCGTGGGTTGACGCGAGCCCCGGGAAACCAGGCGCCGGGTCTTCACGCGTGTTAGGTGCGCGACGGCCAGCCTCCGCGGACGGTTCCAGTGGGAATTCTAACCAGGAAACGTCGGTTCTATAACCGCCCGCACGCACCCCAGTCAACACGGCGGGAGCTTTCGCCGCGAGGAATTCAGCCTTTGGTGCCGGAGCCGGAGCCGGCCCGGTGCTCCCCGCACAGGCGGCCTCTGTTTCGTCCTGCAAACGCGGCCCGCCACGCGGTGTCTGCGCAGTAGCCGTCACTCGCCCACATGCACCTGTCCGTCACCCGCTCCACGCCAGGCCTTGCTCTCACGCCAGGGGCGTGTCTGTGAGCAGCACGGGCGAGGTCCGGCCTCCCCGAGGTGCGGGGGCGGGGGGCGGGGGCAGGGCGCGCGCGGCGAATGCCACGGCCTGGTGTCGCCCAGCGGGTGCTTCTGCCCTGCTTCCTGGCTGAGCAGACGGGCGCAGTTTGCCCAATCCCTGTCACCCTTCCTCGAGCCTCAGACTGTGGGTGGGGGGGCTCGCCCCCAGGGCCCCCAGCGTGGCAGGTCCGGGGCGGGGCTGGGCGTGCGCTTCTGCCAGGCTCCCTGGGGACGCTGGCGGGGGCTGGGGACGGGCTATGGGGCTCCCGTCACTTGGTCGCAGAGCTGGGGGAAGGTCGGCTCCAGGCTGTGGGGTCTCGGGGACGGGGTGCGGTATCTCCTCGCCAGCCCCCGGATGCAGAGAAGGCAGAACCGAACTGGCCGTAGTAGGATCTCAGGTTTGACGTCCCCGCCGTCCAAGTGGACGGCCTGGCTCTGCTTAGTGACCGTCATTTGCCCGGTCCCCCCCTTCACTGTTTGCTTTGGGTGAATCTGTGTTAAATCAGAGTGAATGACTCCAGATACTAAAATCTAACCCTCTTGTTATGAGAGGAAGGGTTAGCAATTTGGTAAACTTTATGTAGCCTGAAAAGGTCTAATTAAATTAAAAACTATAGTGTGGCTTCAATACTAGAATATAAGAAATGCAGGTTAGATATTTATCCAAACCGCGGTTAAGAAAAGGAATACCGAGAAACTCAGAAAATCCACGGGGTTTATATCACGACGGTTAATTTTGGCCGTTGCCTGGTCACCCCTGCTGAGCCAGGTGTGCCCCGCAGCCCGCCCGCCCTCAGCCCCTCGGCCCGGGGCCTTGCGTGGCTGCTGCAGCTCTGTCCCCTGCAGGACTCGAGTCCTGGGGAGTGGTTTCCTGGGCCCCGCCCTGCCCCCGCCACGTGCTGAGACGCCCCCAGAGTGTGGCTTGGCTGGGTTGCTGTGGGTGGACGCCAGGAGGGCTGTGGGGAAGCCGCCCGTCCCCACGCCGGGCGTTTCCTGAGCCAGGTGCTAGACGAGGGGAAGGGGCGGGTGGGGACGGCCGGGCCTCGTGTCGGGGCTGCCTCCGCTGGGCTGCGCACACCCAGCTGAGTGCCGGTCACCTGCAGATGAGGCAGGGTGTGGAGGATGGAGCCTCAGCGTGTGGGGCGAGGCCCGGGCCGGCTCCCTGTGGGCCCTCACTGCCACACGGCACCAGCCCAGCGTCGGACACGGAGGGTGGCATCCCCCTGAGACTGGCAGGACACGCCTGGTTCCCCGTGCAGCCCCCAGGCCCTCTCCTTGCCGTCCCGCTCTGCGCCGCTGCCCATTCGGTCACGCTCACACCAGGCCAGCGCAGGGCGGCTTTGCCCAGCCCGGCGTGCCGCGTACACGGGCGACGCCATGGACGGCACACGCGGGGCCTCCGCCGTCTGGGTGGCAGCACCGCCCTGGCCGTTGTCTTGAGCCTCCCGGGACGCCGCGGTGGTCGTGGGTGACCCTGGCAGAGGCAGGACACCGCCGGCTGTCTCCACGGGCGGGGGCGATGACCCTGGGCCCCTGGCGCGCCCGGGCCACATGGAGGCCATGCGGCTCCCTGCTGGCCGAGCCCTGTGCTCTGCCCGTGGGGAAGGCGGCAGCGAGCAGCACGGCAGATCCCAGGCGGCCCGTCACCCCTGGCCTCAGAGGGGCGGCGCCGAGGCCGGATGTGCCGCTGTCCAGCGGGGACAGAGGCCTGGGGCCGCCCTGCGGTGGCGGTCAGTCCCCGCGCCATCCCTCCCGCGCCGTGCAGCCAGAACTGCCCCCCTGGTGCCTCTGAAGCTGGTCGTCACGTGCTGTGACCAGGTGATGATCACAGGTGTGTCCTGTTTGCCCCGCTCTGTCCCCAGGCATAAAGACCTTCCTCTCCCATCACTGCTATGAAGGGACGGTGTCCTTCCTGCCCGCACAGCACACGGTGGGGTCGCCGAGGGACGGGAAGCCCTGCCGAGCGGGGTGAGTGCGTCTCCACGCGTGTTTATACGGGAAGTAGGGCGGGGCTGTTACGGGTTTGCTCCCGGACGAGGGCGGGTGCGGAGTGGTTTCCGGGCGTGGACGGAAGGTGCTTGGTTGGCACGCCCCGCGACGGGACTGGGACGGCGCAGGGCCGGGGCTCACGGCGCGGTGAAGACAGCTGTCTCGCTGTTTCGCCCCCACGGCACGCACGGGCAGCGTGTCCCGTGCCACGGGTGGGGGGACTGAGGGGCGGGGCCCACACGGACTGTCGGAGCGGGGGCCGCGTGTACACGGGCTCAGCCACGCCAGGGGTCGGGTGGGCCCGAGTGCAGGGGCCGAGCGGGCAGGGCCAGGGCTGCTGCTGCCCGGCGGGAGGGGCGTTGGGGCACACGCACGCCTGGCACGCTGCCCGGCCCCCGCGCTCCGCAGCGCGTGTTAACGCGAGTTAACAGGCCACGGTTCCTCTCTACCCAGAGTGCCCGCACGCCACGCGGCGCACCGGAAACAGAACCGTCATAAATCTGAAAGCCACTCGTCCCGGGCCGTGTGGCCTCTTTGCTGACGGTGGCGTCTCCCTAACGAGCAGCTCGTCCCTTAGTCTCGGGACACGGACCGTTGAGATGGTGTCGCTTTGCGAAGGACGCTCACTTTGTCCTTCCTTCTTGCCTCCCCCAGGCCTGGGAGCGTCCTTCCTTCCTCCGGGGCCTTCGCTTTTTTAACTGAAGCGTCTGAGCCCGGAAAGTGGGCACAGGTAGCGGCAGGTGTCGAGTGGCTGAACGCGATCATTGATGCGCAGATTTCGCCGGCGTCAGCCCTGTCCTGTCTGACGGCGTGTGGGCCTAGTGGTGAAGACCGCCAGTGTATTCTAGACCCGTGGCCAAGTTCTGAGTTAGCTGCCCCGGGTCATTTGTTTGCTTATTACTGGCTGCCACAAATAACCGTTTTTGTCCTTTGTCATCTGAAAGTAAATTACCCGTCACCCCAGGGACCCATCCGCTGGTGAATCTGCGGCTTAGTCACTTTCTCCTGCCCCGCGCCACGCTGGCGCCAGGGCCGGGCGGAACCCGGGTCCCGGTGCAACTCAGATGTCCTCACATTGTGCTTTTTAATAACGTTTATACGTTTTAGAGAAGGACGTGTCGTCGATGCGTCAAATTTTAAAAGCAAATCTGATTTTGAGGACTCGAATTAGCGTGCAAAAAAGAAAGACGCCTCTGGCTCAGCTTTGACGTTGAACTTTTCGCGACACGAGAGGAGCCTGTCGGCCTGCCTGCGTGCGCGCCGAGCGTGCGTGCGCGGCCGCGTGACGCCGGCCTGTCTTCCAGGTGCTCCGTGTGCAGGCAGAGCCGGCAGCAGCTGCAGGAGGAGCAGAAGAAGGCGCTCTACGGCCTGGACAACGCCGGTGAGTCCGGGACACGGGCTCCACGCTGCCACGGCTGGCGTTAGTGAGGGTTTCGGTTTCTGTCTCCTCTCCGGCTGCGCGCCTCTGCCTTTTCCCCTCCCCGGGGGTGTCGCGCTGCCCGTCCCCCTTCTCCCCGGCTCCAGGCGGCAACAGCTCACCGCCGCTGGCCAGTTCACCAGGGGAACAGCAGCAGGCTCTGCGACGAGGCCCGGTGCCGTCCCCCTCCGAGCTGCCCCCGTGGGCCCAGGCCGGGGCTCCTGCGCCCGCGTGCTATGGGGCGCGGGGTCAGCAAACGTCCTGCCGGCGGCCTGGTGCGGACGGCTCGGGTCTGTGGCCCCGGCTCGAGCACGCCTGGTGGCGGAGGCGGCCGTGGACGCCTCATTTACGGACACCGGCGTTCGAGTTTCATGTCATTTTCACGTGTCGCAAGATATTATTCTTCTGATTTTTTTTTTTCCTGCCATTTAAAAATGGGAGGCCGGGCACAGTGGCTCACACCTGTGATCCTAGCTCTCCGGGAGGCCGAGGCGGGAGGATCGCTCGAGGTCAGGAGTTAGAGACCAGCCTGAGCAAGAGCGAGACCCTGTATCTACCAAAAATAGAAAGAAATTAGCTGGAAAACTAAAAAAATATATAGAACAAATTAGCTGGGCGTGGTGGCACATGCCTGCAGTTCTAGCTACTAGGGAGGCTGAGGCAGGAGGATCGCTCGAGCCCAGGAGTCTGAGGTTGCTGTGAGCGAGGCTGACGCCACGGCACTCTAGCCTGGGCTGCAGAGTGGGACTCTGTCTCTAAATGAATAAATAAATAAAAATGGGGAAACCATCCTTTGCTGGGAGTCCGTGCAAAGCAGACGGCTGGATCGAGCCCAGGGCTGTACGTTGCTGGCCCTTGTTCTGAATCATCATCCCAGAGTTCCTCCCCCACCCCCGCCCCCAGGAGCACTGAAAACAGCTCTGCCTCTTGGGAGGGGACCGTCTAGGCCCCACACTCCTGCACTCAGCGGGCAACCTGCCAGTGCGGGTGGACGGCCTCGCAGTGGGATTTCTTTGTGTTAATGCCAGAGGGTTGGTGGATCCCAGAGTTTGAGTCAAGCGTCTGGCCCCAGCGAGGGCGGCAGCGTCGCAGGGACCCCCACCTCACTGTGGGGTGGGCCGGTCCCTGCGCCCCGCTGACCCGTGGCCCCCGCACGGCTCTCCCCGCTGCAGAGGAGGTGGAAGAGTGGCAGGTCGTCTGCGGGAAGTTCCTGGCCATCAACGTCACCAACATGTCCTGCGCCTGTCGCCGCAGCCCCCAGGGCCTCTCGCCGGCGGCCCACCTGGGGGACGGGTCCTGCGACCTCATCCTCATCCGCAAGTGCTCCAGGTTCAACTTCCTGCGGTTCCTCCTCAGGCACACCAACCAGTGCGACCAGGTGGGTGGAGCGGAGCGCCGTCCGCGCGTGGCCCGGGTCGCGGGGGACTCACGCAAACCCCGACTCTCGTGTTATTGGAGGGTTTGATCCGCAGGAAGGAAGGACATACTGTTTTGTTTGCCTTTTGTAGCTTTTATTCTATTTATTTATTTATTTTTTTTGAGACAGAGTCTCACTCTGTTGCCCGGGCTAGAGTGCCGTGGCGTCAGCCTCACTCACAGCAACCTCAGACTCCTGGGCTCAAGCGATCCTCCTGCCTCAGCCTCCCGAGTAGCTGGGACTACAGGCATGTGCCACCATGCCCGGCTAATTTTTTATATATATATCAGTTGGCCAATTAATTTCTTTCTATTTATAGTAGAGACGGGGTCTCGCTCTTGCTCAGGCTGGTTTTGAACTCCTGACCTTGAGCAATCCGCCCGCCTCAGCCTCCCAGAGAGCTAGGATTACAGGCGTGAGCCACCGCGCCCGGCAAAGATTTATATTTTTTAAAGGAAATTTGACAAGGAGTAATTGTAACTAGGAGTTTAAAAGCAGCAAAATGGCCGGGCGCGGTGGCTCATGCCTGTAATCCTAGCACTCTGGGAGGCTGAGGAGGGAGGATCACTAAAGGTGAGAAGTTCAGGACCAGCCTGAGCAAGAGCGAGACCCCCGTCTCTACTAAAAATAGAAAGAAATTAGCTGGACAACTGAAAATATATAGAACAAATCAGCCGGGCATGGTGGTGCATGCCTGTAGTCCCAGCTACTCGGGAGGCTGAGGCAGGAGGATCGCTTGAGCCCAGGAGTTTGAGGTTGCTGTGAGCTAGGCTGACGCCACGGCACTCACTCTAGCCTGGGCAACAAAGCGAGACTCTGTCTCAAAAAAAAAAACAACAACAACAACAAAAAATATATAAATCTTTGAGCACAGAAAGTAAGAGGCGTGAATACTTACAGATAACTTCCTGTCTGTCGTTCCTCTTCCTGTTTAAAAACACAACAAAGTGGTAAGGCAAGGACTTTTGCTGCCCTTACAGGTCCCCTAAAGTAAAATCTTTAGGCTCCCAGAAAGGGGCCCAGCAGAGCTGCCAGAGCCTTCTGCAGCTCCGCAGGGAGCCCGGGCCTGCTGGCGGACGTTGGGAGAAGCCAGACTTTGGTCACGGTCTCTAATTTTTTAGTGAAAATTGTATTTAAGATTTAGTCCAATCCTATTTTTACCGTGTTTCCCCGAAAATAAGACAGGGTCTTACATTTATTTTTCCTCAAGGAAAAGACACCCTAGGGCTTAATTCCAGGGGATGTGTTATCTTTTTTAAGTACGGTGCAACCATCTACATTTATTCAAATAGAGTGAAGTCATCTTCTTCTGGAACATCATCCTCACTCTCCAAACCCCGAATTCCATCCTGAGTTTCTTGCGACTCTATTTCCTTTAGAACCATCGGCCCCGATCTCTCATGTCGAGCACTAGAGCTCTCATGGCAGATGAGAAGGGCTGCTCGTCTTCTTTCCCACTCCGCCACGGCACGCACGGGTTGTGCAGACGCGCTGCGTGGCCACGCCCGTCACTAGGTCTCATTTTCGGGGTGGGGCTTATATTGTGCACATGCTTAGAGATCCTGCCAGGGCTTATTTTATGGGTAGGTCTCATTTTCGGGGAAACACGGCATGTGGCTCTTTAAGTAGTGCTTGTTAAAAGAACATAGAAAATTCTAGAAATCACTGCTAATGAGCTAGCGGAATTCTTTTATACGTGTCCATCATTGTGGGTGAGCTGTGACTCGTGGAAGTATCAGACGTCGCCCTGGCAAGTGCCCGGGACGGCAGGTGACACGCCCCCCTGGGTGGCTGAGTTGTCAGGTCAGCTGTGTGGGGTGGGGGTGAGTGGCCACGCCCCCCGGAAGGGTGTCAGGTGCGCAGCGGGACAGGAGACTGCACCACTGAGCGGCCCGCCGCCCGGGCACGGTGATGTTAAGAGCTGCGTCCTCCCTCTCGCTGTGCCTCGGCAGTTTGACTTCAGCTTCGTGGAGGTCTACCGCGTCAGGAAGTTCCAGTTCACGTCCAAGCACGCGGAGGACGAGGACAGCGACCTCAGGGAGCGGGGGAAGGCGCGCTTCGCGCACATCTGCCGCGAGCACCCGTCCTGCTGCTGCGAGGCGTCCAGCAGCTCCTGGAACTGCGACGGCGAGGTGCTGCACAGCGCGGCCATCGAGGTCAGGTGCGTGCCGAGGAGGCCCCCGCGCCCCCCGCCCGGACTCCGTACGTGTCGCGGAGCGAGAGCGCCCCTGCAGCGCACTGTCCTTTCCGGGAGTCGGTGCCGGCCGACAGGCCGTGGCCTGATTTTGGGAAGGCGCGCGGGGGCCGTGAGCTAGTGCTCTGGGCCTGCAGATCCGTCCCCGGCGGGTGTCCCGGCCCCTCCGTCTTCTTCTCCTCGCCCTGCGATTCTCCCTCTCTCTGCTCCGGGGTGATTCGAACCACACACAGATGGAGCCACCTTTGCAGGCACTTCCTGAGCCCTTGGTCCCCTGAGTGCACCAGGGGACGTTGGGCCTGAAGGGGCCACGCTCACGGCCAAGTGCCCTGCTCAGCGCAGAGAGGGCGGGGCGGGCAGGGCGGGGCGAGGCTGAGGTTGGTGGCGGCAGGGCGGGAGGAGCCACTGAGGGGAGCTGTGTGCGGAGGCCATGCAGCCTGGGGGACCCGGGGAGTTGGTGTGGCCAGGCCAGGCGAGGACGCACACTGGGGAAGGCAGAGCCCCGAGGGCCCGGGCTGTCCCGCCGCCTCCTGCCCGAGGGGAGGCTCAGAATGGCCGTTAGCCAGGCTCGCTGGGCGGACGCAGAGAATCAGAGCCTGTCACCCCAGGGGACACACTGACAGAGCCCAAGCGCCGCTGCCCAGGCTTACTTACGGCCTCCCTGGGGGCAGGTGCCCACCCCGTTGGGCCCACCGTGTTCGGTATTGGAAATCTATAGCTTAATTACATGTGTCACGTAACCAGATGGGATATGGGCACACAGAAAATTCTTTCCCCATGGGAAGTTCACAGTAAGACGGTTTTTATTACAACATTAAAAGCCAAGTCGTTGTATCTTTTTGGGGGTGTGGGGGGACAGAGTCTCACTCTGTTTCCCAGGCTAGAGTGCCGTGGCGTCAGCCTAGCTCACAGCAACCTCAAACTCCTGGGCTCAAGCGATCCTCCTGCCTCAGCCTCCCGAGTAGCTGGGACTACAGGCATGCGCCACCATGCCCGGCTAATTTTTTGTATATATATTTTCAGTTGTCCAGATAATTTCTTTCTGTTTTTAGTAGAGATGGGGTCTTGCTCTTGCTCAGGCTGGTTTCTAACTCCTGACCTTGAGCGATCCTCCCTCCTCAGCCTCCCAGAGTGCTAGGACTACAGGCGTGAGCCACCGCGCCTGGCCGTAAAACCAAGTTGTTTTTTTTTAAAAAGCCTATTTCACAAGTTCAGGGAAGCAGTGATGGGTAGACGAGAAGGTCCCAGGAAAACCCACCAGGCCAGTCACTGTGTGCTCAGGGCCTTGGCGTCTGTTGACTCATTTCACAAGTTCTGGCAATGGCATTGTTTTAATACCAGCGCATGCATTTATTAAATAGATTAGGAAAAAGCATATTTGAAATACATCTTACATATCTCGGTAAATACCACTATACTTTTAATAGCATGTCAGCCAGTTATGGGGCTTTTGGTTACAGAAACGTGTCCGAGGGGGCTGTGATCTTGTTAGTAAGTGGGGTCAGCAGGGCCGTACCGTGTGCGAGGATGGCACCAACCCCGGAGCCCCACTCTGACCGCCCGGCCTGGGCAGGGCCCCGGGGACCTCCCCACTCCCCCCCTGCACCCGCTCCTCCCGGGGCCCTGTGCTGGCACGGGGAGAGTGAGCCGGGCGGGGGGACACGGGCCAGCAGGCGGGTATCGGAACCAGAACCGGGCCTGCTGGTGCCTGGACCTCCTGCTCGCCCGGCCGGCAGCTTCCCCTTGGGGACTCGGGTCTCCTCGGTGACGCCCGCACTCCGCCCCGGCCCGGGCGTGCGCCCAAGGCCAGCTGGGACGGGTACGCCCGCAGGGCTTAACGGTGGCCGTCTGTCTCCGCAGGGTCCACTGCCAGCTGGTCCGACTCTTCGCGCGGGGGATCGAAGAGGACCCTAAGCAGGCGCCGCGCAGCTGAGACGCCCTGACACCCCGCCCGCCTTGCGCGGGGAGTGTTGGAAGTTATTTAAGAAATTTACTACAGACCAATTATGTGGATATATACATTTACATTTAGAAGTTTATTTTTGATAGTTAAATCTTGACTTTAGAAAAAAGCACTTTTCTTGTCAACGGTTTTGTGTGCATACTCTCAAGTTGTGTGCGCATCTGCGGGGGGGGGGGGGCCTCGCACGGCCTCGGCACGCCCTGCCTGCGGATCTGGGGCTTTGGCTTCTTAGATTTCCGCGGTGTCCTCGGCGTAGTTTCAGAGAAGGCCCGTTAGGGGCTCCATCGCAATAATTTCAGGGACGTTGTAATTACACGAGTGCTTTCCGTGAAGGCCACACCGCCTGGGCAGGAGGTGGCCGCGGGGTCCCCCCGACCCGCCTGGCGAGACTGACCCGGTAGCCGTGTGGGCCCGAGCTCTGGAAGTGGCGGGTGCTCTTGGCCTGCCTCCGCCTTCCTGACGCGGCTGTTCCCACGACGACCACGCGACGCGGTCCTGCCGCAGCAACCCCACGGGAGGCCGGCCGGGCGGCCGTCGGGGTGCACGGGACGCCTGGTGTCGGGAGCTTGCGCCCGTCCGCGTCTGGGGCGGAGCGGCTGGCTGGCAGCACGGCCCGGCCCCGCTCGGCACACGGATCGGGACTCCGGAAGCACAGTCTGTGTGGGACCCTCCGGCCGGCTTCTCTGCCATTTTAAAACGTGCAGTGCTGGGGCGCCCTAGCGACACGTGACGCAGCTGGGCTTGGCGGGGGACGCAGACGCACGCCGGCTCTCAGCGGCGGGTCGTTCCGCCTTCCGGCGGATCCCTGTGGCCCGGCCCTGATGTCCGCACACCTGGTCCGCATCTGCCCTGTCCTGTCCTGTCTGTCGTCGTGGGCGCTATTATAATTTATTGAACACTTTGTCCTTTTAAACCAGAATAGCGTAAGTGGCATCTTCGCTGCTTGTATCTTGCCTCTCAACTACGGTGGAGCTTTCGTTTTTTTCGCCAAAGTGCTCGGGCTCCTCCCGAGACACAGGATTCCTCCCGGAAAAGCCGCTCCTCCCGCTCGGCCCCAGCCCCCCGCGCCTTCCGCGCCCCGCCGCGCCCCGGCTCTGTCTGCACCTCTGCTCGTGTCTAGGACGGTTTTCTCTGAAATGCAGGAGTCTGCAGCTGACGCCTTCATTTGTGGAGCGAGGGGACACGGGACTGCCACGAGAGCACAGCTGCAGCCACGGCCCCGTGGCCCCATCCGTGGACGTCACACGGCTTCCCTTAGCGGTTCCGGCGTTTGGCGGTCAGCATGTGTCTGTGGAATTGCCTTGCACCGGTGTTACGTTTCGAAGTGGCGCGAGACTCCTCATTTTATCGTCCAGCCCCGCCTCGGGCAGACAAAAAGGCAGCTTCAGCGGTGGTTTTTTTCCTAATGGACCACGGCATCAAAGATAATCATGCAAGCAGATGGTTTAATAACTGATGGTTGAATGAGAAATCTGGGTAAGAAGAGTAAGCATTCCCGGCTGTTTCTATCAGTGCTTGCTCCCGGTGGGGAAGAAACCAAAGATGCGAGGCCGGCGGCTCTGCCTGCCTGCCCGTGCCCAGTGCCCAGCGGGCAGCGCCCTGGGACGTGCCGGGAGTATGGGCAGGGGGTGGGGGGCTGCTGAGCCGGCCGTGGGCTTCCCTGGGCCTCTGGAGTTGTGCTAAAGTTTGAGCACAAGGTTTCCCTAGAAGATTCTTCAAAGTCTTTACTGCCCCTGGTAAACATCTCTCATACACCAGCCACTCTAAGAGCCACTGCTCCGCTGTCGGTTTTGGAAAAATGGTCCTGGCCCCAGAGCAAGCGTTTCGTGTTCAACGAGAAACCTGGCTGTCCCCCTCGGCCGGTTCCCAGAGGGCCTTGGTGGTCCTTCCCAACTGCCTGCATTCAGGTGGCAAACCGGGGACTGCTGCTGGGGTGCCGTGTGAGCGTCTCACACCCTCCGAGAGCCCCCGGGTATCTGCGCGCAGACGTTCCCTAGAGACAGGCTGCGGTCGCCGTGAACCCTGATAGACCCGGCAGCCACGACGCCTGTGCTTTGGGGTTTCAAGGGGAAAACGATCGGAAGTGGCGGCTAGACAGTGAAAGCGTGGGGTCACTTAGAAGCGTGAGTGTGCGTTTTACCTTCCTTTGTGGCTCGCAAAGCGGCCAAGCGCCGGCGCCGGGGCTGGACTGTTCCAACCCAGACGCCAGAGCGCCGCGGCCCCGATCCTGCATGACGCGATCTTGCGCGGCTGGGAGATGTGGAGGGAGAGGGTGTGGCTGAATTTTCCTCCTGGTCTTGCTGGTTTCAAGATTAGAGAACGGCATTACTTGATTTGTTTGAGAAGACAAAAATAAAGTTACCTGGGCAGGTTTTTGGCTATTTTTCTTTCCTTGACAAATTCCTGTTATCTTCAAAGCAGGATATTTTTAACGAGAACACACGTGCGCAACCTACGGAACACAAACGAGCAGAGGTGTGACCGCCACCTGTGCCAAGACACTGAACGTCACCCCAGAGCGTCCTGTGCCCCCGTCGCCGAATCTGCCCGGCCTGTCCCGGGAGGCCGCGGCCCGTGGAACGTGAGTCACCCGCCTTTCCTGACGTCCGCGCCGGGCGGCACGACGCTGGGCTTCGCAGGTTCTGCTCCTGAGCCAAAAGGGGACACGCCGTGTCTCATTCTCTGTAGCCTCTTGCACTCCACGTGTCTTGAGAAGACATCTGCATCACGAAAACGAGTTGTTTCCAGTTATTTCCACTTTCTAGATCCTCATTAACGTCTTTCCATCATTTCAGAATCTTTCCATAAAAGTCTTTTAATTTTGCTTAGAGTTATTCTTAAAAACTCCGTATGTTGAGGCTATCCTTTAAAAAAAAAAATTGTTTTGCATGGAAATGCAGTTGTTTTTTGTGTGTCAGGTTGTTTCCGGGAACTTTGCCTCCTGTCAACCTAGAATGACGACAGAGAGGCGAGCTCGCCAAAGGCGGTCCCCCTGGGGGTGCAAGGGGACCGCAGTGGGGTGTGCGTGCCCCGGTGGGACCCGGGCACGTGCGGGGGTCAGGGCAGGGGGACACTTTCAAAGGCCAAGAGGGAGCCCCTGTAAGCCGCACGGAGGCCAAGCTCGTGGGTCACGGCGGCACGCCGGGGCGCTGGCACTGCTCACTGCTTGGCGGCGGAGGCAGGCGAGCGCGCTGTGCACGCGGCTTACCTGGAGTGCCGCACTCTCCGGAAGGTTCTCGGGAGGAGTCCCGTCGCCGGCAGGTCTGTGCGCAGGGCAGGCCTCGGAGCAGGCCCTGCTACAGCTCCGGCCTGTGTGTGGCGGCTGCCGCCTCCCGGTCCCCCCCCCCACGCCGGCGCGCTAGGGTTCGACCCAGGGGACTCCATCCCGGTTCCAGCAACTTCCACACTCCTGTTGTCATTCACCTGTAAATGCGGACGGTCTCCCGTAATCATTATACCATCGACAAGGTGATGATGGCTGAGTATCTTCTTTGCGATCTTACACATTCCAGCTGTGCCCCGCCTGTGCCAGCTGCACGCCCGGCACAAAATCGAGTGGAAGGGCTTGTCTCCGGAGGGAGCGGCCGCCAGCTCCAGCCCCCCCCCAGGTGAGCAGGGCGGCTCCCCCTTCCTGCTGACGGGGCGCTGAGGGGCCGCCATGGGGGGCCGGGCTGCGCGGTTCCAGGGAGTCTGGGGGAGATGTCAGCCGCGCTGGGCAGCTCCCTCTGTCCGCGATTCCGTCTTTGGTCCCTTCCCCTCGGCAGCCAGAGCCGCGCCGCGCCCCGGTCCCCGCACAGCCGATGGCCCCGTGTCGGCCCCTTGGCCCGTGGGAGTCACACGGAGAACAGCGCAGACCCCACCCCTGGGCTCCTGACACTGCCCCTCTCGTTCATTTACTAGTCGTTTGTTAAACCAATTCACTAGACACTGTGTTTTAGAAAAATACACAGTACGTGTGGCGAGAACAAAGAAGGTTCCAGAACAAAACCATGATTAATAACTTACTCTCCCTCTGGGGTCCTGTCCCCCCCCCGCCCCGTCCCGACTCCCCCACCTGGCTGCAGCCAGTGACGGCGTCTGCCCCGAGTCCCACAGGGGCACCTCCGCACCTCCGCTGGGGCTGGTGACCTTTGCCCTGTGCTGTGACCCCCCTGGGAGCCAGGAAAAGCCAAGCCAGGCCAGGCGGCCCTGGGGTGTGACGTCTGTCGTAAGATGGGTGAATTAAATGCACACAGTTGCAAAGGAAGCTAACCAGACCGACACACGGTCGCCGAAGTGGTTTTTATAATGGGGAAGGAGCAACACGTGGGCCCCGCGCTGACACGAAACAATGAAATGTACGTCACACAGGCACCCCGTCACCGTCGGGTTCTTTGAGCGGAGGGGCCGTGGGCCGAGGCTGGGTGGCCACCCGCAAGCCCGACTGTGCCAGGTGAGGCCCAGCGGACTCCCCGCCTTGGCGCCCGGAGCCCCTGCCACCCGCAGCTGCGTGGCCCGGGAGCGACGGGCTGGCGGCCCAGCTCCCCCCACCCCCGACGCAGGGGTCCCTGCCAAGAAGGCGGACAGCTCCGAGCCTTAGCACAAAGCATTTTAGGTTTATTTAAATAAAAATTATAATTTATACAAGACTTCTTTAAACAAACGAAGTTTTCTTAAAAAAATGTTACAGGTTTTTTTTTTTTTTTCCTTCCCCCCCCCATGGGTTCTTCATACAGTACAATCTTTTTATTTTTTTTTTTGAACAAAAGTCACACTGGTCATGATTATTTACAGATCGAAAATAGACTCAGGCTGCTTCAGACATAAAAAATTTAACATTCATTCTAGTTCAGTGATTAGTCATAGAAATTAAACATCCGCCCAGATGCATACGGTTCAGCGACCCTGCGGCTTCTCCCGCCGGGAGCCCGGGGCCCCCGCTGGCCGCGCTCTGCTCCCCGCCTGACCTGGGGGGGCAGCCGCCACGGCCGCCGCCACCACCCACTGGCCAACGCGGGACCCTGGCCGGGAGCCCGGCGGCCACGCCAGCTCGTGGTCAGTTTTCATCTCCCTTCTCCTCAAAAGGGACTCGAACTGAACCACCCACCCGCTGTGCAGAATCAGCCCGCTCCGCCGCAGGGACCCTCCTCACCGAGCCCGGGACAGAGTCCCAGTGCGCCTAAAGGAGGTGCTCGATGACCCCAAGGCCCCCAGGACCCGCACCTGGGCATTGCCAGGGGCCCGGAGACGGCTGTGACCGTCACCCACGGGTGTCACCCCGAGGCACTGCTGGGGACAGGTCAGGGCCCACCCAGCCTTGCCCCGGGCACTGTCTCCCCACCACGCAGCTCAGCGAGCCGGGCCAGGCAGGGCCCACAGCCAGGGTGAGCGGGTTCTGCCGTGCAAGGACGCAACCTGCAACCTGGGAGCTGCGTGGGCGTCACCATGGGGGCGGGGAGTGTGCTTAGCCCGGCCGGTGGGCAGGGCTCCCCTCCCCCGCCGGCGCCAGCGCGTGACCCTGTGGGCCCCGCGAAGGGGTCATTGAGCCGCCAGATCTCTCACCCAAACCAGCAAATGAGGATCGGAGCAAAGGTAAAAATTACATCTGAAAAATGATATAAAAATAAGAAAAACAGCTTGCTCTCTGTAAAAAATATAATCTTCTGTTTCTTCAAAAAACAATCTCAACAACACCCAAAAGACTCGGGACGGGCTGGAGTGACCTGCCCCAGGGGCTGCATCCCGCAAGGCCTGGGGCCTGTCCCGGACGCCAGGCCGCCTGCTCCTCACGCCAAGCCTGCCCAGACGGCCCAGGACAAGCCAGGCCTGCGAGGGGCTCCCTCCGGCCTCCTCCACCAGCCGAGCTCTCAGGAAGCTCGGGCTTCCCCGGGCGGGACACCGAGGAGCGGGCGAGCCCTGCGCCGGGGCAGGGAATACTGTCGGATGCCGGGGTGCAGGCCGGCGCTGGCCCCGAGCCTCCGGGCTCTGCTCACGGTCGCTCCCTAAAGCAGGGGACCGCCAAGCTTCCCTGACACGGGGACGGCGCCTGCAGAGAGGGCCACCGTGGGTCTGGGACGCACCTGCCCAGCCCCTCCACCCCCCAACGCCAGTGCCAGCAGCCCGGGGGGCCGAGTGCCAGCCCGGCTGTGCTTGATTTTCATCTGGGAGCCAGCGGGGCTCGGGGCACCTCCCGAAGCCTTTGCAGATGTCCTCCTGGGCCTTCCAAAGAGCGAAGTGTTAAGAAGATGTGCTTTTACCACTCTGGACCCTCACGGGTCACCAGCCGAGGACCTCCTGGCCGGTGTGAGGCCAAGACGACGGGCCGGCGGCCGTGCAGGTGCTGTGCCAGGCCGGGTCACCGCGGGGCTGGCAGGAGGACGGTGCCAGCGGACACGCCCAGCTCTGAGCGAGCAGATGCGGCCCCTCCCACCAGCCGCACGCGCCAACGGGGGCGGGCACGGCAGGGGACGGGGACGCCACGCCAGCCCCAGCAGGCAGGGCTTGCTGGAGGAGGTGCAAGTGTGACCGGCCCATTTCTCAGTGGCTGGGCAAGGGGCCTCCACGCCACCCCTCACTGTCACCTCTCACTGTCACCTCACTAACCACAAACGCTCCTCAGCTATGGCTTCGGTGGAGGAGAAGCTTCCGGCCTCTGCAGAGCAGGGAGGTGGGGTCACGAGGAGCCCCCCGGGGCCCGGTGCAGCCTCTCGGTCCCAGCTGAGGTGGGGACGGGGCCGGCACTGCCACCTCCCTGCAGGCCCGCGGCAGGGCACCCTCCGTCCTTGGGCCCCGGCCCCACGTGGTCCATCAAACGCAGGGATCAACGCAATAAAACCACAGGTCGAGGAGAATTATTGCAAAAGATGAGGATGTCCAATCTTTTTCCACTACCGAATTATTAAAAAAAAAAAATTCCAGCAATGTCCCGGGAGAGTGGATACTAGCTGTCGCCGCCAGACGCCGCTGCGGACGTGATTTTCACGTACTGGCTGAAGATGGTCTCGAAGGCCTCGTCTCTGTGCACCATGGCCCCGAACACAAGCGGCTGGCGGGGAGGAAACGCCACCGGTGAACCCAGCATGGCCAGGCTGACGCCAGGACCGAGACACCCGTGACCCGGGGGGCCAGGTCAGCGTGCCGCTGCCTGGGTGGGGTCTGGGTGCAGAAGAGCAGACGTCCCCTGCCACCCAGGGGCCAGGCTCCCAGCCTTGAGAGAAACTGAGGCAAGAGGCAGAGGCCCCAGGCTGCCGGCTCAACCTCTCCTTCCCTGAGTCACCAAGCTGGGTCCACCCCTACTTCACACCCCACCCCCCGTCTGCCCCTGACTCTGTGCCCCGCACCCCCCCATCAAGGAGTAAGATTTCTGACCCTGATTGGACGTGGCAGAGGATCCTGCCGCCCAGAGGAAAAGAAGGGGCTTCCCGGGCCCCACCGCCCGGCTGACACCCGGACCCTCGGGCCCGCTCTGGCCCCTGGGTGGCTCCCAGCCCGGCGCTGGCTTACTTTCTGGGTGGATGGCGTCGATACTGCGATCCCCATGCCTGAGCCTGGGAGGACGGACAGGACCTTGTACTGAAAGACAACAACGTGGCTGTCACCTCGGGCCTCTCCCGGGGACGGGGTGGCAGCCGGCCCACCACAGGCCCGGGCCACACGTTTGGCAAGACCCACCGGGGCCTGGGACTTCCGTGCCGGGAGGGGCCCGTGTCAGCACCGCCCACCCCAGGAGGCGGGCCGGGAGGACTCGGGCCCTGGCCTTGTGCCTCCGGGTCGCTCAGCTGATCCTGCATCCTTTTTCCGGACGGGGGCGGACCACGGGGGCCGGGTGCACCCGACATGCCGTGGAGGGAGGGGGACGCCACCCCCACATGCACCTGCCTGTGGAAGGAGCAGCGGCCCGACCACCCTGGGCGGCGAGCCCGTCGGCCCCGCGCCGAGCCCCCTCTGCCCCAGAGAACAAGGCCCTCGGGCACCGCACACACCCGTGCCCACGCCCACCTGCACAGTCCACGCGATGACACGCGAGGGGAACTGGCCACGGAAAAGCCGGACCAGACGCCACCGCCCCGCTCTCACCCCGACACCTGCCCCTAAAGCAGGAGCCTGGGGCCACCTCGGCTTTGGGGGGGTCTCGGATGCGAGGGGTGGAGAGCACAGCGGCCCCCTCGCTGTAAGACACACGGCCTGGGCACGTCTTACCCACGTGGTCCCGCAAGAGGGGACCAGGACAGGTGCCGACCCACAGGGACGTGGGGCTAAAGCTGAGGAACAGACCGTGGCAGGCGGCGCAGCCCCGGGGCACGGATGCTCTGGTGGGGGCTGGTGGGGGCTGATAGGGGGCTCACACGGAAACCTTCTAGAAGGTGAGCCCAGTCGGACACAGCAGCAGCGCCATCCAAGTCCCCAGCCGCCCCTGCCCCAGGGCCGTGACCGTATCCAGTGAAACCACCACTTTGGAGCCCTCGGCTTTCCCGACCCTAGAAGCAGGAGGAGTCGGCAGGATGGGGGACAGTGGCACGGCCACACCCACCTTCTGGATGTCGGTGATGTCCATCAGTTTGATGACCTTGTTCCTCTTCGAGGACCCTGACTTGGAGCTTTCGAAGCACAGGTAACTGGAGGAGGGAGGGGACAGACAGAGGCACAACCTAGCAGCCGCCCCGCAGCCCCAGTGGGGACGAACAGGGACAACTCCCCCGCCCACGGATCACCTACATAGCTAACAGACGTCTGCTCCCAACAAGAGACACAGGAGTCCCTGAGGCCAGGGTGAATCTCCCGGGCGGCTCCTTCTGAGAGGGGCCGGGGAGGCCGGGCCTGGGCCACCACTGCAGGTGTGGGACGGGTGGCCGAGCCCCCAAACACCAGGAGCAGACACCGGCCTGGGGCCAGTTGGGGCCCCGCCCGCACCCGGGGTTGTGTGGGTGCTGGCAAGGCCGGTCTCCTTCCGGTGGAGAAGACCCAGGGCTGCCCTCCTCCGGACACAGGCGACAAGGCCCCGGGCCTCGGTCCCAGTGGGTCACTGCACAGTCCCTTCCTTGAACCCCGCATGGCTCTGGACCACAGGAGCTTCCGGGACCAGACCCGGCACCCCCAATGGCCGGCAGCCGGCAAGGGCGGGGCAGGCTCTCGGTGGGCAGGCCCACCGTGTCCCCTCTGGCCCGTGCCCCCTCCAGCCCGTGTCCCCTGCGGCCTGTGTCCCCTCCAGCCCGTGCCCCTCCGGCCCGTGCCCCTCTGGCCCGTGTCCCCTCCGGCCCGTGCCCCTCCGGCCCATGTCCCCTCTGGCCCTTGCCCCTCCGGCCCGTGTCCCCCCCGGCCCATGCCCCCTGCAGCCTGTGTCCCCTCCGGCCCGTGCCTCCTGCGGCCCGTGTTCCCTCCGGCCCGTGTCCCCTCCGGCCCGTGCCCCTCTGGCCCGTGCCCCCTGCGGCCCATGCCCCTCCAGCCCGTGTCCCCTCCCGCCCGTGCCCCTCCGGCCCGTGTCCCCTCCGGCCCGTGCCCCTCCCGCCCGTGCCCCTCCGGCCCGTGTCCCCTCCGGCCCGTGTCCCCTCTGGCCTGTGCCCCTCTGGCCTGTGTCCCCTCCGGCCCTTGCCCCTCCGGCCGGTGCCCCTCTGGCCCGTGCCCCTCTGGCCGGTGCCCCTCCGGCCCGTGTCCCCTCTGGCCCATGCCCCTCTCCCCATGTCCCCTGCAGCCCGTGTCCCCTGCAGCCCGTGTCCCCTGCAGCCTGTGTCGCCTGTGGCAGGGAGGCCACTGGGGAAACTGCTCACAAGCCAGACTGCCCACGCCCAGGGCTGGCGTGGGCCCCCGCGCCTCCCGCCCAGCCGTGCCCCGCGGCACTCACTTCTCCGTCACGTAGAGCACGCCGTTGCGGATGTAGTCCGTGGGCATCTTGCGGTCCCTGTTTATCAGGCAGCAGCGCCAGCCGTTCTCGCACACTGACGGGGACAAAACCTGCCTGTGAGCGTCTCCCCGGGAACGCGGGTCCTGCCATGTGACGCCTCCCCAGGGATTGGGACTCCGACGCCCCGTGGGGCCACCGGGGCCTGTCCCGAGGGGCGGGTCACCTCGACAGGGCTGGGTCACGGGCTCCTCGCGTGCACACATACCCGCCAGCGGCCGCTCGTTCTCCGTCAGGTTGAAGATCTCGTGGAAGTTGCCCTTCTTGGTTCCGTGGAAGCGCCCGGCGTCCTCCTCCTTGCCCAGCCCCGCCGGCGTGCTGGACACGCAGCTCCGCGAGGAGGTCGTCTGCAGCTGCTGACGCACAGCCCCGGTCAGGCCCCGCCCCTGGCGCTAGGGGCCGCCCGGGCTCCCTGCCGCTCACGCCCTGACAGGCAGGCACACCCTCTTGCCGGCAGCGGTCCAGACGCAGGCGGAGTGCCCCCACCCTGGCCTGCGCCACCTCTGCGCCGCCTCCTTCCGCCGTGGAGGGGAGAACACAGCACACCCCCACCCTCCTGCCCCAAACACCGGGGCCAAGGACACTGCTGCCCGGCATGTGGTCTGCCCCGGGACAGCTAAAACAGACATGTCAGGAATCCAGCTGGCCGTGGGACAGGCCACGGAGGGCAACCTGAGAAAACCAGTCACAACACGGCAAGGGTCACAGCAGGCCAAGGGTCCTTGCACACAGACACCGTACCTTGTCGTGCCCTGACAGCTGGCCGCAAAGGAGACAACAGACACGCGTGTGACCGGGACAAGGAAAGGACTGGGGGCCACACGACACAAGGTCACGAACACCCCAAGTCGAGCAGAGCTGTGAGCCCGCGGGAAGCCCCACCTTGGGATGTCACCCCCCACTCGCCACTACGGGGCCAGTGGTGCTGCCGGAAAGCCCGTTCCGGATGCCCTGGGGCCAGGCCGGGCTGTCTCCCCCTACGCTGCCTCCGTGCCTGGGGGCCCCTCAGGCTGGCCCCCGTGTGCAGGCTGCCCTGTGCCCAGCTGGGCTGTCTGTCCTGTGGCTCAGCTCAGGTTCCCAAAACACTTTTGTCATCCGGGGAACTGTGAGCATGACCTATGTCCCACCCGTAGTTTCCACTGCCAGCTACAGAGCACCAGCGGGACACCCTCCCCCCAGCAGACACTCACACACGGGACCGTGTGCCAACCACACCGCCTCCAGGGAGCCCTCCTAAACCTCTGGGAAGCCCTACTGGGCTCAGAACCTCCCCGATGGTCTAAGAGGCCCTGAGGAGAGCACCTGTGTCCTGCCTCAGGACACCGTGCCCATCCCCATAGTGCCTGTCACCACAGACAAACAGGGCCCCGCACCAGCCTGGGAGCCCAGGGCGGGCCCTTCTCAGGGGCCACTCGGCCTCGGTCAGGACTGGCAGGGCCCAGGCACCCACCACGGAGTGGTCACTCCCAGGCCCTTGGCTCTCAGCACCCTGCCCTGGGCCAGCCCTTGGCCTGGCTCGGTGGGACCCTGCTCCGAGGGGCTCTCAGGCAGCGGGGGCTCCAGCCCAGCCCCCCAATGCTGCCCTGGGCTTGGGGGGGGGCTGGCCCCTAACAGGTGCATGAAGGGACAATGGGCCTCCGAAAAGAGGTGACAGGGAAGAACCTCACAGAGCTCCCAGGACCCCTGACACGGTCAGCTTCCAAATGGGCCGATGGTGAACAGAGAACTGGGGCTGGGGACTGACGGGCTTTGTGGGCCCCTCGTGCGCTCCCAGCGGGGCCCGGGACTCACCCTGCGCGACACGGCGGCGCTGGAGCGCTCCTTGAGCTGGGGGTCCGTGGGGAGGCTGTTCCAGATGATGTAGGGCGTGTCGTACTTGGCCCGCAGTCTCGGGCAGCGCTTGAAGATGAAGTCGATGAGGAAAAACTTGATGCCCGCGTAGAGTCCTGGGGTAGGGGAGACAGAGCCCTGTTTCACCCAGAACTTGGCGATCCTGTGTGTCTGTCTGGGATGACGGTTCCAGCACCTTCTGCCTCCCAGACCCGCGCCCTGCCCGAGTCCAGCACAGCCCAGCCCGGGCTCTCCTGGGCGTGAGCCGGACCCCAGCTCAGCCTCGCCCCTCCTCCCTGCCCAGCCGCATGGTTAACGCCGGGCGAGGGCCATGTCCCCCACTTTCCGACCAGCGGCCAGGCGGCTCCTGGGCTCCGCACACCTTCCACCCCAGAGTCATTAGCGTGCCCCTCCCACTGTGCCCCCCCACCTTCCCTGTGGCTCCAAAGGGGACCATCGCCTACCCAGCAGTTCAGAGAGCACCCTCAGCATGCCCAACTCCCTCCCTGACCCCGCCATCCACCCGCAAATCAGTGGGTCTGCCGTCCAAACAGGTCAGATCCCTTGGGACCAGCGGCCCCACTGCCAGCACCCCACCCACTCACACCAGGCTGAGCTGTTTCTAGAGTAGGCCACACCTACTAGGCCACATCCACCTCTACCAGGCCACACCCTCTAGACTAGGCCACACCCACTTCTACCAGGCCACACCCTCTAGACTAGGCCACACCCACTTCTACCAGGCCAAACCCTCTAGACTAGACCACACCCACTTCCACCAGGCCAAACCCTCTAGACTAGGCCACACCCACTTCTACCAGGCCAAACCCTCTAGACTAGGCCACACCCACTTCTACCAGGCCAAACCCTCTATACTAGGCCACATCCACCTCTACCAGGCCAAACCCTCTAGACTAGACCACACCCACTTCCACCAGGCCAAACCCTCTAGACTAGGTCACACCCACTTCTACCAGGCCAAACCCTCTAGACTAGGTCACACTCACTTCCACCAGGCCACACCCTCTAGACTAGGCCACACCCTCCAGACTAGGCCACACCCCCTAGACTAGGCCACACCCTCCAGACTAAGCCACACCTACTTCTACCAGGCCACACCCTCTAAACCAGGCCATACCTACTCCCACCAGGCCACACCCTCTAGACTAGGCTACACCCAATCCCATTCAAGCCACACCCTCTCTAGACTAGGTTGTATCTACTCCCACCAGGCCACACCCACCGAGACCACACCTTCTCCTACCAGGCCACATGCTCTAGACTAGCCCACACCCACTCCTATCCAGGCAATGCCCTCTTCTGCCCAGGCCACACCCTCACCCAGGCCACACCCTCCCCCACCTATCCCAGTTCTGCTGGTCTCCCCAGTGCCCCCTTCTCTCCAACTCTGCCCTGGCCCAGGACTATTTTTGACCCACCTAAAACACACCATAAATGTCCCTCCTTTGCTCAAACTCCCCACACCTGACACAGATTCCAAGGCCCTCCCCAAGTCCACTCCCATCTGACCCCTCACCCAGCACTGCCCCATGCCCCTGGCCGTGTCCCCCGAGAGGCCTCTTCACCCCAGCTGGCTCCGTCCCCCTGCGCTGGTTCAGCAGCTGTGGGCTGCCTGCCCAGCTGAGCACACCCAGAACCAGAGCGTGGAGAAGCAGGCACACTGACCTGCGCCTACAGCCCCACGTGGCAACAGTGCAGGGACCAGAGGCCGGGTGCCACCCACAGGCACCTCCTCAAGCCAGGGAAGTGCGTCCCTCCGAGCAGCTAGAACCACCAGGCCCCTCCCAGCCGGGGGCTGTAGTGCCGCCCACAGTGCCCGGTGCCCGGACAGACCAGAGCACATGAAAAGCCCCTCCCTGCAGACTGAGGTTCCTGTAACATCTGCACTTTCCTATAAAAGGAGCCGGATAAAGCTGCGCCTTGCCTTGGCTTTGTTTGGCCTTTATAAGACATTTTCATATAAGCTTCCAAACAAAGTCAGACTTTTTGACCCCAAGTCCCGACTTTTTAACTCTGGAAATGTGCTCAGGCAGGGAGGGGCGCAAGTGGGACACGGGCTTGGTTGACTAGACGGAGCTCCCAGGCCTCCTCCAGCATGCCAGAGGGACAGCTCAGCCCGGGGCCTTCGAATCCCCGCTGGGGCCACCCTCGTCCCCTACACGCAGGTCTCCTGCCGGCACCGTGGGAGGGAGGGCAGACGGGCCGGGCCGTGAAGAACCAGCATGATGACCTTGACCCCCACACCTGGCAGCCTCCGGCAGCTCCACCCAGTGGTGGTGGTGATCGTGGTGTGGTCGCAAGGATCAAGCCTCACCGGCTGCCACAAAAGAGGACGGCAGGACAGTTCCAGGACACCAAGCCCCAGGTGCCCACCTCCCGGGCTCAGCACAGAAAACAGCCCAGGGCTCGGGTGCTACCAGGCCGCCTGCGCCCTGCCGCCCCTCAGAGGCCTGACTGCTGGTCTTTGGGGTCCCCTCCATGCTCACGCTCCAAGAGTCCTGGTCCCTGGCCAGCAGGGCCCAAGGGCATTTGTGAGGTGAGGATCTGGGTCTCAAAACCAAGGCTCTGATCAACTCTGGCTCCGCCCACACTGGGGATGGCACCTGACAAGTGACAAGGAGCTGCTGCTGCTAGAGCTCAGCCCCGCTGTGTCCCTGAGGGACCCTCCTCTGCTCATGGCCAGGGATTTGGGGAAAGGGCAGGGGACCGTCTCTCGTTCACGCCACCAGACCTCCGTCCCCTCCCGTCCCCTCCCCGCTGCTGCAGGCCCCCTCCCCGCTGCTGCAGGCCCGGGGGCGGACGGCGCCTTACCCACAGCGAGCCCCACCAGGCGGTAGGGGAAGAAGCAGGAGGCCAGGAAGGCGGCCCAGAGCGCCACGTACAGCTTCTGCGTGATCTCCGGCTGCACCCACATGAACAAGCTGCAAGGGAGACGGCAGGCTCAGGCGGGGCGGGCGCACCACGCCGCCGGGCGGGGGCTCGCCACTTACTTCCTGATCTTCTCCAGGATGTCGGCCATCTTCCCAAACAGGTTCTGCCCAAAGAAGAAACCTCGGTCGCAACAGACCCCGCAGGGACACCAGGAGCCCCAGACACCCGGGGTTTGGGCAGGCCACAGACACGTGTCTAGCCACTCCCAGGCCTGTGGGGGGCCTGGCCTGGAGTGAGGGCTGGGGGGGACCCAGGTCCGGCCCTGCCTCCAGCCTGGGGGCTCCTCTACCCAGGACCCCACCCACCGTCCACGCAGGCTGCACGGGGAGCCCCACGGCGGTACCTGGGCTTTCTGGGCGACGTCCAGCACCAGCTGGAACTTCTCAGACACGGTCAGGTCCTCCTTGGGAGGTTCCTTCAGTCAAAGGGGAAAGAGAATTTTCCACTGAAATTTAACAGTTCAGAAAAATTACTGACAAAACAGCATGAAGGCTTCCCAGCCCCAAGCACCTGTAGGTCACTCTACTCTCCCTACAATAGTCAGTGACGATGGGACACCTCTTGGGGACCCAGGCGCCCTTCTGGGCTGATGTCGAAATCCCACCCTGGCACAGCTCACCTGTGCAGGTGCACCTGAGACCACCACCCAGCCCCCACTCCCTCACTTATGGGCAGGACACCAGCCTTGCCCCGCTTGTCCACATCCTCACATCTCCCATTCATTCAGAACCTCCCGAGTTCTGGGGCCCAAGTTCCAGGGCCAGGAGGGCACAGGCCTGCCTCCTCCCGGCCGCCACCCCCACCTCTGTGTGCCCCAGGGCACAGCAGGTGCTTGGTGTCTGTCAATTACGTGGAGGCGCCTTGGCCTCCCTCTACCAACACCTGGTGGTCCTGCCCCATGGGTGGGTGTCTCCCTCTAGAACAAACTTCCGTAAAGGGTCAGGGGGCTTCTCAGGCCACGTGGTCTGTCAAAGCCACTCAACTACAGCACAGACACAGCCGTAGCAGTGTGTAAATGAATGAGTGTGGCTGTGTGCCAATAAAACTTTATTTATAAAATCAGGCAGGGGGCCGGAAGTGCACTCTACAGTCCCAGGTGGGACGATATCTACTCATCCAGCCCAATGCTCACCACCCCACCAGGGAGGCTGTGGGGCTACAAGAGTCCCTCTCCCACTGGGAGCCCCAGCTTGGGGCTGGGCTGGCTGACCTCTCCTTTCCAGGGGGCTCCCAGAGGGTGACCACAAAGCCTCATCTGGGGGCCTCCCTGCTGGGGCCTCCCTGTGCGGCACACACGGGCTCTGGGCCTGACCTGGCGGAGACGGACAGAGGAGACCCCGGCCCTCCCAGGACTTACCACGGCTTCAGACACGTCCGGCACGATGCTCCACTGAATCCTCCAGCCCCTGGCAAACAGGAAGCAGGGACACACTTTAACCAGTGCCACCTGCAAGCAGCGTGGTCGGGGTGGCGTCCAGTCACCAGCCCTGCCCTCCCCGCAGGCTTGAAGGGGCCCTTCTCTGCCAGCCAGACGGGGGAAGGGGCTCCCGACCAGTCCTGCCAGTCCACCCCGGGACCCCTAGGGCCGCTCCCCAGCAGTGGGTGACTCCGTCTCACCCTCGCTGCCTCGGCGGGGGCTGTCCTGAGGGGAGGGGACACATGTAAAAGCAGCCAGAGGTGTGGAGCGGGGGAGAAGCCTTCAACAGAAACCAGCGGGAGTAGCACGGCAAGCGCCGAGACTCCTGCAGGAGCTTAAATGCTCTCCACAAAAACCATTTCCGAACCAGCCCACGTGAGCAGGCACAGAAAGTCACCCGGAAGATCAGAGCAAACTCGGGAAGGGCCGAGCGCAAGACAGAATCTGGGCTGCTCTCCCCAGCCCTGGGCTGGGGGGGCTCCCAGGGGCCCTGGGCCTCCACAGGGAGGGGTGCTCTGTGGGGGTGCAAGGAGTGACACGGGGCCCGGGCTGGTGCCCCCGTGCTGGTGCAACGCGCCCCTCAGCCAGGGTGCCGACTGCAGACTGCTCACCCCGCCGCCCCCGCGTCCCAGCCCATCCATGTCACGACAGCCACCAGCAGGGACTTTGCACAAGACTGAGCCCGTGTGGCTTCTGCAACCCACACGCTGAGGTCTGGGGAGAGGTTACTGCCCCGGGGGGGGGGGGGTGGTCTCTGGAGCCTGCTAGAGGGTCGCCCTCCAAACGCCAGCGCACGACACCCCATCCAGTGCCACCGTCGTGTGTGACGCAGGGACACGCCACGGCCGTGCACACGGTGGCCACACACCAATCCGGCTCACCTACCTGGCGATGAGGTAATTGAGGGACAACCGCAGAATTGCTAGGAACAGGAACAACGGGATGGCCCAGCCATGCCACACGGCGTTCATGTACACCTGCGGAGCGCAAGGGGGAGGGCAGGTGACGTGACTGTGGGGTCAGGATGAGCGGCATCCCTCCCCCTCCCCCAGCCCAGCAGGGAGACCCGGCCCCGGGGGCTCCCCAGACAGCCAGGGAGGAGGGCACATGTGCAGGGAAGCCGGAGGAAGGGACAGAGAAGCCGCCCTGCATGGGCAGGGAGGGAGCAGGAGAGAGCTGCCCCGCCGTCACGGCCCCCACGTGTGGCTCCACGCGCCAGACTCAGGCATCACTAGGTCTCAGCACACCTGAGTGGGGCGGCCAACCGCAGGCTGAGGACCAGCCAGGAGGGTGCTGCCGCCAGGGCTACCGTCACCTGGGGCCCCCTGTGCCCCACACAAGGCTGCAGACACAGAGCAGAGGCCCCGAGGGGGCTGGGGATGGGATCCACCCTTGGCCGGGCGGAGGCTGGGGAGGTGGGTCTGAATCCGGGGTTGTCTCTTAGCCGTGAGAGACGGGATGCACGGGAATCCCGGACCCAAGGCAGCAAAGGCCTCGCAGGGCGAGGCGTCTATTAGGGCTAATGGGAGAGGAAAGGATCCCAGTGGCAAGATGGAGCTGCCCCCCGGCAACCTTCATCTCCCAGATGGGCAGGAGTCCCCGGGGCAGACACCAGGTGTGGGCTTCAGACATGTGCCCAGATGGCCTGACCCAGGGCCGGGGCCAGGGTGGTCCTCAGGTCCCCTCCAGGCTGAAGCCAGCTGGGGACCTCGGGACAGAGAGGTGGGCTCCACTCAACAGGACTGTGCTGCCTTTGGGGGCTTTGGAGGGTTCCTGGGGCCGTGGCCGCCCACCTTGGCCTTGAGGCCGCGGCAGGCAGGTGGCAACCTGCACCTCACACAGGAGGCACAGCCCTCCACCCCTGGGAACCCCTCGGGCTCCAGTCCCGGGAAACAGGCAGAAGGTCTTCCTGTGCACGGCTGAGGGGCAGCCGCTGCAGGACAATTCCAGGCAGGGCAGCTGGGCTGTCTTCCCCAGAGCCCCCGGCGACGCCAGCCCTGCGGTCCTGTCCCTCCCAGCAGTCGGGGCTCACGGAGGCCGGGCTGGGTGCCCCACCCCATCCTGCCCTTGTCTGGAGCCTCCCCGGCCCCAGCAGTGGGTGACAACCACATCACCAGACCCTGTCCCGAGGATGCTGCAGTGAGGGCCACGCCTGTGCCCAGACAGTGGCCGCCACGCCCTGTCCAGGGAGCCCTGCCGCCTGCCCTGGGCCCACCCCAACATCTCTGATCCTCAGAGCCACCCCATGGCTGGGGGTCAGCATCAGGGCACCCACTTCACAGACGAGGAAGCTGAGGCTGCGCACAGTCCCCGGGGCCCAAGGAAGTGCTGCCCGGGGTTGGGGGGACGTCACCCGCCCACCCTGCAAGGAGCCACTCACGGTGAAGGCGATGGCTGACGTGTAGACGGAGTACCAGTCAGATAAGGCAGAGAGGTTCTTCACGAAGTTAGTGACAGGCTTGGCACCACGCTCTGGGGACAGAGCAGACGGCAGCGGTCAGCCCCAGCGCCCGCCTCCTCGCGCCCGCGCGCAGGGCCAGGCTGGCCTCCCTGGCGCTGCACAACCGGTGCCAATACGGGCTCCTGGTGAGCCCAGGCCCACACTCCCCCAAGGCAGTCTGCTGTCCCTGCAGGGGACATGCCACCTGCCCCTCCCCTCAGCAGGGACAGGAGGGGGGACACGGGCGAACCCAGGGAGGAGCCCCGCCCGCACCCCCTGGGGCTGGGAGCGTCTGAGAAAAGCATCAGCGTTCATCCCAAACGCTGGGGGTCCAGGCGCTGGGGGAAACTGTTCCCGCCCCAGGGGGCTCCCCCATCTCGGCCCCCGAAAGTGGGTGGGCCTCGGCCAGGCTTCCAGCACGAGCCTCCTCCCCAGGGCCCCCCGGGCAGGGGTCTTCCTTGACAGCATGTGTCTGGGAGAAGCTCGGGCGGCTCACGGCCCAGGCCCTGCCCCTGGCGGCTCCGCGGGTACTCACTCAGGCGTCTCATGTTCTCGGTCAACCTGGGAAGGAGAGGAGCCAGCGTTAGTGCGCCCCGGGCCCTGCATCCCTGCCGCCCACGCCCCACCGGCTCCTGGGAAGATGCCCACGTGCCCGGGCACGCGCGGGGACTCGAGCAGCACCGCGCACCGGGGTGGCCCTGGCCGCCAGCTCCCTAAGAGACGCGGTGACTGGCCGACAGGACCGCTCCCTTCCTCTCCTCTCCCGCCCACACGAGTCCCCAGGGCCGTGCTGTCCGGCTCCCGGGACCCCGTGCCTGGCGAGCAGGGCCCACGTCTGCAGATGGGGCTCATGAACCACCCAATGAAGGGAAGGCCCCGGGGTGGCGGGCGCTTGCCCCCCGAGCCCAGCGTCCCTACAGGACATCTGTCACGGATCACGAGGGAGACCAGGGTGGACGTGACAGTGCTCTGGGCTGCCTCATGGCGGTCTCTCGGCCCCGCCAGCCGAATCCCCCTAGGGGAAGGGCTCGGGGAGACAGCGGCGGCTCACGGTGACAGACATGGCCTGCCTGCTGACGCCCCGGCTTGGGGACGGCCACCCCAGGGCTGGTGTGGGGCCCTACCTGCGGGCGCTGAGGGGCTCCTCGGCCTCCACGGTGCTCTCCTCGGGCTGGAAGCGGAAGTCCTCCACGTACACCCCGAACTTGTCGTAGAACCACTTCTGGGCGCGGGAGGACAGCCCCTGGCTCCGGCGGTCTGGGGGTGGGGGGCAGAGGCCCGGTGAGGGGCAGGGGCCTCCCCCATGGAGCCAGGAAACCAAGGGGTCCACGGCGGAGGGGACTCTGAGGCCTCAGTTCTCCAACGACAGGAGGTGCAGCAGCAAACACTGCCGCCCGGCTGCAAAACCCACCGCGGCGTGGGGTCGCGTCTCTCACCCCGGCCCCCGTGTTCTGGGCACGCCCGGCTGTCCAGGCCACCTCAGGGGTCTGTGTCAACCTCCCTTTCCACCTCTGGCTTGTCTGGGTGGGCTCGTCACCCCCCGGCCCTGCAGAGTCTGAGGACCAGCCAACGGGGGCTGTCCTGGGAGGGACGGGGCCCAGCGAGGGAGGTGGCTGGCCTGGGCGAGCTGTCGTGGCTTAGTGCTGGTGACAGACACTGGTCACCAAGGCTGAGCCTGGGGAAAGCAGCGCACACCACGGGAGCCCAGGAGGTCTCCTGCCCAACGTGGGCACCGTGGCACAGACCAGTCTGGTCCCTTCGGAAAGCCGGCTGTGGGACTGCCTGCAGGGGGCGCTGTCCCTCCGCGATTGACGGGCGTGGGAAAGGCGGGCGGGCAGGTGCCACCCACCGCCCTGCACTTCGGGCTCAGGGTAGGAGCCTGAGGGCCACAGGCCACGGGGCGCTGAGGTGTGGGTACCCCGAGACCCCCAGCAGGGCAGAGCACGGAGTTCTCGGGGAGGACGGTGCGGGCAGGTTCTCGTACCCCAGCTGGCGGGGTTTTTAAGGTGAGAGTCCAGGCGGTGACAGCAAACCCGTCCCCGTGGCGGGGACAGCCGTACACGAATGGGCCTGGCCCTGTTTCTATGGCACTTTATTTATGGATGCTGAAATATCAGATTTACATAACGTTCACATGTCACCAAATAGCCTTTTGATATTTTCGGCCGTTTAAAATGTAAAGCCGGACGGGGGCTGGGGCGTGCTGAACCGCAGGTGCGGGGAGCGCTGCCAGCTGCCTGGAGGGCCTCCCCGTGTCCTGCAGCCCACCCCTGCCCCTGCTCTTAGCCAGGACCGGGACCTCTCAGCCAGGGCCCTCAGGGCTGATTCCCTGGAGGAAACGAAGAACCCTCACGTGGCTTTATCCCTGACACCTTTTTATAACTGACCCCCATCACTGGGACTGACTGCTGACCCCCGCCGGGCCTCCATTTCACCTGTGCAAGGTGTGCACCAGGTCTGTCCCCACCCCCACCTCCTCCCCCTTCTGGGGCCACCCTGGAAGCCAGCGCCTCCCTCACCACGCTCCCCCCATACAGAGAGCGCAGGGCAAGGACAGGCCTCGGCAGGGGGGCAAGGCCGAAGGCACTGGGGAGCCAGGGTCTTCCCCACTGGCACTCTGACCCTCTCTCGTCCCTGGGCAGCGGGGCCTCAGGGGTCTCCTGCGCTGCTCGTGGCTCCGGGGCCCAGGTGCACAGGCTGAGGGCTTTGAGGGCCTGAGGAGGCCACGACGAAGGGGGTGCAGCTCCACCTTGGTTGGCGGGCCCAGCACCCGGGCCCCGGGGAAGGGGCGTACACCACCTTCCCCTCCGGCAGGCAAGCTCGGTGAGGACCCAGACGGGGCCCAGCTCTGGTCCACGCTGGGCCTCTACCCAGCAGGTGCCCCTGGCAGAAGTCTTCCCTGCTGGGGCCTCTGTGTTCTCATCTTTACGCCGGGCAGGGCTGAACCCAGTGAGCCTTCTCTGGCTTAACTCTCTGGGCCCGACTGGCGCAGGCAGGGAGGTCCTCGAGCTTGGTCCCCCTGCAGGGACCGGCGCTGCCTGGGGGTGCGCAGGCCAAACCCACGAGAGCTGAATGGAAAATCCAGTCCCCTCCCTCATCGATCCTCTGAACGAGAATTGTAGGTGAATTCTTACTCCACTCCCAGTGTGGAGTGAGAGACAAAAAGGGGCCAAGGCGTGGGAAGACAAGGAGAAGAGAGAAAAGGGCTCTGTCCCCTGACCGGGGGCTGGGGATCATCCCAGCGGCGGCCCCCACTGCCCGTTCCGTCCCGTCGGCGGGATGGTCAGCCCGGACAGCAGGCCGCCAGGTCAGTGGCAGAGGGACCTGCTCGGCCCCCACGCCGCCGTTCCGTGGGCAATGCCGAAACAGCACGTCGTATTTCCATGAGAAAGTACAGTCAGGTTTGGGTTGACGACTCGAGTTTGCTATGATGACTCATCAGCTCCCAGCGAGAGACAGTAACCCAGTTCTGACGGGAGGAGATTCCCGGGTGCCAGCGGGTACCCAGGGGCAGAACCAGCTCCGCTGCCCGCCTGCCCACCGGGGCCTACCTGCTCCGTTGGTGGCCTGGGTCTGCCCCTTCGGCGGCGGCTGAGCCGTCTGCTCCTCGGTTCTAAGAGAGTGGGGAGAAGAGGCAAGACGTCCGTTAGTTCGAAACACGGGGCACGGTCGGCCGCACACAGCTCTGGGGCTCACCCGGCTCAAACTGCACAGGGAGGGGGTGGGGTGAGCGGGGTGCTCCCCAGGACCCCCAAACTGCTCGAATAGTGCTTGTGACGGTAGCTGGGCAAGCACAGAGCCGTGTTCAACAGGCACGTGTGTTGTCTTTTAGGAACCAAACGAAGTCTCATGCAGCTCTTTTCTTTGCTGTTAATTTTAACTCTTAAAATTCTACTGCCCATCAGGCTGCTGCTGGAAAGATTAACACACATGAATCTATCAGGCACCACGAGAGGCCACAGGCTAGGTGACACCCTGTCAGCTGTCTGCACCCAGCTCGGCCCAGGTCGGCCGCCTGCCTGGGCTCCCCGTCCCCAAGCCCCCACTGCACCCTGATCACAGCCGTCACCAGGCCTCAGATGCCCCTCGGGCTCTGCCCTTCCTGGAGTTTCTGCCCACCTGTCAGACCCTATAGACCCGACCGTCCGCAGTGTGCTCTGAGGGAGCCCGAGCTCAGCGGGCAGCCTGGCCCGGCCCCTGGGAGCCGCGTCTGTCCGGTTCCCTGGCCAGCTGCTCCCTCCGCCCAAGCCACAGCAGCGCCCAGCCCACCTGTCCCGCACCAGAGGCGCCTCTGCGCTCCTGGGCCCACGGGGCCCCAGGCAGACCTGGGCAGGGCTGGGAGGGGGGCACAGGTCCTCCTCCGGGTTGGCGACCCTCAGCACAGGTGCCCCCTCGCCTGCAGAGATGGGGAGAGGCGGTTTCTGCTCTGTTCATGTCCCGTGATTTCACACCGATAGTGTTGTGAACCAACCCAGTCCTCAGGCTCGTGACCTGTCCCCGGCACCTGGCACTGCCGCGTTGTGCGGGAGCATGCAGAATGTGGAGGACAACTGGACAGGAGACCAGCAGAGCTGGAGCTGGGCGAGGGCTGCGGCCCCCTGAGCAATGGGCGGGAGCGGTCGAGGTGGAGGTGGGGTCCCCAAGAAGGGAGCCATGGCCATGGGGGAGGGGCCAGGACTCCATGCCCACCCTCCCTGTGGCCAGGGTGGGGCCGCCCAAATGACCGTCCGTGCCCAGAGCTGGCATCAAAACGGGGATTCACGGGAAACAGGAGGTACCTGGGGCACAAGAGAGACCCCGGGAGCCGGGTGGGTTCCCCTGTTCCTGGCCAGCTGAACTAGGACTCTCCCTGAACCAGCCTGGGGGTTTCAGAATAGGCAACTCAGCCAGGAAGCACAAAAAACTGGCTTCTGGCTGGGCACCATGGCTCATGCCTATAACCCCAGCACTCTGGGAGGCTGAGGCAGGAGGAGCTCTTGAAGCCAGAAGTTCAAGACCAGCCTGGGCAACACAATAAGAGCCTATTTCCACAAAAAGTAGAAAAATTAGCAGGGCGTGGTGATGCACACCTATAATCCCAGCTATTCAGGAGACTGCAGCAGGAGGATCACTTAAGCCCAGAGTTTGAGGCTGCAGTGAGCTACAAGCCACCGCACTCCAGGCTGGGTGACAGAAAGAGACTTTGTCTTTATTTATTTATTTATTTTGAGACAGAGTCTCGCTTTGTTGCCCAGGCTAGAGTGAGTGCCGTGGCGTCAGCCTAGTTCACAGCAACCTCAAACTCCTGGGCTCAAGCGATCCTCCTGCCTCAGCCTCCCAAGTAGCTGGGACTACAGGCATGCACCACCATGCCCGGCTAATTTCTTCTATATGTATATATTAGTTGGCCAATTAATTTCTTTCTATTTATAGCAGAGATGGGGTCTCGCTCTTGCTCAGGCTGGTTTTGAACTCCTGTCCTCGAGCAATCCGCCCGCCTCGGCCTCCCAGAGTGCTGGGATTACAAGTGTGAGCCACGGCGCCCCGGCTGAGACCCTGTCTTTAAATAAACAAAAAAGGCTCTTGCCAAAGCCCTGGCCCAGGTGTGCACCACGAGGCCTGGAGGCCAAATGCACACGACCTCGCCCAGGCCATGGATGGGCAGTGGGTGGGGGAGGCCCTCAGTGGGCGGGGCCGGCCATCAGTGGGCGGGGCCTTTCCAGGTCTGTGTTGGCACTGCATGCTTTGTGTCTAATAATGCACAGTCCACGGCAGCTAGAAATAAACCAGTGTTTAGATATTACTGTGCAGCAAGCAGCTGCCTTCAGCGGAGGACTGGAGACCCAGGAGCAGGTGCCCCAGGCGGCAGGAACGTCACTTCCTTCACGCAATGCCAAACCCAGAACACGGTGACTGCCTGTCATGCCTGCTCCTAAGAACACACTGCCTGATGACAGTGTTACCGCAATACGTTCTCAAAACGTAGCAGGGGGACAGAGGGCAGGCAGCGTACCAGCACATTCTAGCCTGAGCGAGGGGTGCCGCCGCGGCCTCTGAGAAGTGGGAGCCCCCAGGGGGTGCTCAAAGCCACACAAACACCCCGAACCTCGTGCAAGGGGAAAAGGACTGTTGTACTGACACTCCTAACGGCGACTGATTCTCACGGCGGTTCCAAAGGATGATGCTGCCGGATGAGGGCGCGAACGAGCGAGGGGCGGGCCGTGTCTGGGCCTCTCGGAAGGCCGAAAGCCTCCAGCCCCCAGCTGCCTGGGCCACAGGGCGGAGGCCGCAGCCGGGTCGAGGTGTGGACGCCAGGGCAGGTGTTGCCCACTCTGCCACGTGCCCTCCCAGGCCGCACGGTCACCAGGGTCCACTTCCCTCCTGCGAGGCCCGTGTGCAGGTGCAGCACAGAACGGGGGCCACGTGCCATCCGGCCCCCCACCTTCCTGACTCTGGGGCTCCCGGCGGGAGACAAGGGGGCAGCAGCCATGAGAAGAGTGAACTCTAAGAACGCTCAGGGCGGGGCGAGGGCGGGACCAGACCACGGACTGGCAGGGGGCGGCAGGGCAGGGCTGTCGGCGGCTGTTGGACCCACGGTGGAGAAAGCCCTTGCCCGCCCACGGCAGGAGGACCCCAAGGTGGTTCTCTGAGAGTTTTCTCAAAAGCCAAAACAGACGTTTGTATAACCATCGTGAGTCTTAATCCTGCAGCTTTGCAGTGCGTGACGGGGCGGGGGGTTGCGTGGGTGTGTCATGTGAGTGTGCATCAGTGCTGTGAGCGTGTGTGGTATGAGGGTGTGTAGGTGTGGGTGTCTGTGTGCTGTGCGTGCAGTGTGTATAGTGTGTGGTGCGTGTACGCGAGGTGTGTGGGGTATGTGTGTGTGGTGCGTGCATGCGTGGTGCGTGTACGCGAGGTGTGTGGGTTATGTGTGTGTAGTGCGTGTGTGTGGTGCGTGTACGCGAGGTGTGTGGGGTGTGTGTGTATAGTGTGTGCGTGTGTGGTGCGTGTACGCGAGGTGTGTGGGGTGTGTGCGTGTGGTGCGTGCGTGCGTGGTATGTGTACGCGAGATGTGTGGGGTATGTGTGGTGTGTACCGTGTGTGGTGCGTGTACGCGAGGTGTGTGGGGTATGTGTGTGTGGTGTGTGCATGCGTGGTATGTGTATGCGAGGTATGTGGGGTATGTGTGGTGTGTACCGTGTGTGGTGTGTGTGATGTGTGTGTGTGCACGTGAGGTATGTGGGGGGCTTCTGGGTGCAGCTGGGGGTGCGGAGGTGGCCAGCCCGAGCGCCCAGGCCTCATCCGATTTGGACACCTTGCAGAGGGACATGGGGCCCCGTGGGCTTTTTCAGGACAGGGACGGCACCTGCTCTGCAACCTGCAGTGTCGCTCTGGAATGACTGTGCGGCAGGGCGTGGGGCCAGGCAGGAGGTCCTGCGCGGGGGGTCCTCGGGGGCAGTCCAACCCCACACAGGGCGGGACCCGTCTGAGAACAAAGACGTCACCTGCAAACACCTCTGGAAGCCGGGGCAGCACTGCCAGCCCAGGAGGGTGAATCTGCCAGGACGAAGGAGGCAGGGGTGCCCAGGGCCTGGTGAGGCCACGTGGCAGGGAGCATTCAGGGCGGGCAGCTGGGCTCCCTGGAGGGTCTGCAGCCGCGGCCGGGGAGGGGCGGGGAGCCTGGGAGAGCACGAAGGCCAAGCCGGGCCAAGTCAGCATCCCCAGAAGGTCCTGAGGGGCCCGGCCAGCCTCTGGGGCCAGAAGACACCGGGAATCAGGACACATGGGACAGGGGCGCCTGCTGGCCAAGGCTGCAGGTTTGGCGGTTCTAGGGCTCTGTAGGCCCCCACCAATCCTCTCCTCAGTCTCGCCCCCGCCTGGGTCAGGTGACCACGAGGAGCACGGCCCCCATGCTGCCCGTTTTCCAGACCAGCCCCAGGCACAGGAGGTCAGCCCAGTCCAAAGACCACAGCTCCGACAGGCACATGCCAGCCCTGGACCCGGGCCATCGGGGCACCAGGGCTGTATCGCCACTCGCCCTCAGACCCCTCCAGGACCAAGGGTGACACTCCTGAGGTGCTCTGGGTCCCGCAGAGGCCAGGGGGGCTGACACTGCCCACTCCCAGGGCCGGGGCCGCCCGGGCATCCGGGCAGGGGCGCGGGGCGCGAGGTACCTGGCCTTCAGCACCTCCTGCACCTTCTGTTCCAGCTCTATCCTCCGCTGCCGCTCCCGGTCCAGCTCCTGCCTCAGCATCTCCGAGTTGGTCTCTTCTCGCAGCTTCCGGAGCTCCTCCTCTGTGGGGGAGAGAAAGCAGGCTGACCCCCACTCTCGTCCACGCTGCCCCCTGACTCCGAGACGCAGCGTGCCCGCCTCGGGACGGCAGAGAAGTCTCTGCTCCGGGAAGAGACCTGAGCACCCGGACAGTGGGGGCGCTGGTCCCTCTGGCACCTGCCAGGAGGCCGCGGCCTCTGCCCCCTGCCTGGGCGCACCCGTGGGAAGGGGCTGTGCACCGGGCTGCCCCCACACAGTCGGGGACAGACGTGGGAGGAGCGAGGGCGAGGACTCGCTCACTGTGCCGGCTCCAGGCTGGTGCAGGACAGGGCACCACGCCGCCACCGCCACACCTGAGACACCTGAGGTCACCCGAGGAAGGGACACTGACAGCCCATGGCCACCCCCCCATAGCGACGCGACGCCTCCGTGTGCCGGCTGCTAGTGCACACAGACCGCTGCAGCCGCCGCGGCTGCTTCAGGAAGCCTCAAAGAGAAGGTGAGGTCTGGGTCGAGACCCGCATGACACACGAGGTCACAAGTACCCAGCAAAGAGTGCCTGGGCAGGGGAGGCAGCAGGGTCGGAGCTCAGCGAGACTGAAGTCTAAGGACGGAGGGGCCGGGAGCCAGGCGTGCGGGTGGCCCCCAGAAGTCAGAAAGGGGGGCACTTCCAGTACTCGGAGAGAGGCAGACTCGGCCCCTCTCCGCCTCCCTCTGCCCAGCCTCCACCTCCCGAACCAAGAGGGCAGGATCACCTGATGACAAAGCCTGACGCCCGGCTGTCCCCGCTGCCCTCCCGAGGCCTGGCGCAGGCGCAGAGAACGAGAGGAGACAGACGGATGAAAGTGAGAGCCAGCGCCTGCCGACGACGCCTGCAGGTCCTCGGCCTTCGCAGAGGCCATGGTGCCCCCCCTCCCGACGCGGCCACTCGAGCCTCACGGCGCCACTCCACGGAGCCTGCCGGGATCCTCCTCCAGCCCACGTGCTCCTGCTCATCCAGGGCGGAGCGCCTGTGAGCACCAGAAGCCGAGGGGACGCTGGGGGTCCCGGGAGCCCAGCCATCATACAGGCAGCCACGGCCACACAGGGTGCCCAGAACAGTGCGGCACGTGGCTGCTGGGATGGAAGGATGGAAGGACAGAGGGACGAGTACATTCCAGCCCCACAGGTCAGAGGAGATGGCAGGACAGGGAGGAACCCTGCGACTCCAGCCTCAGGAACCCCCCTACCCAGCAGCCAGCAGCCCGAGACTGGGTCTCCGAGCGGCAGTGCACACGGCCAGCTCCTCCCGGCTCCTGGCTGTGCCTCCTGGCTGTGCATGGCGGGCAGAGGGCACGCATGTGTAAGCCATTCTCAATAGCTGGCTTATAAATCCGGCTTATAAACTCCCAGATGTAAAAGCCTTAAGAGTCACACTCTAAGCTGCCAAGACCCTGGGGACAGCCCCAGAGGCAGGCTGCAGGCAGGCGGGCTTTCCCGGTGTGTCTTCGGCCTCGCCTCTGGACGGGATTCCACGCCTGCAGCCCCACGGAGGGCCGCTGCCCGTTGTGTGCTTGCTGGGTGCCTGCTAGACCCCCTGCTCAGCTTCTTCCTTGCTCATTCCCAGGGCAAATTAGACCAGGGTGGCCTGGCCACCACCCTTCCTGTGGGCTCCAGAGGTGAGCTGGGCTGGGGCCTCGATCAGGGGCACCTGCTACGGGGCACAGGTGGGTCCCCTGCAGGCCCTCGGGAGCCAGCACTGTGGGGGAGGCCAACACAGACAGCCACACCCCAGACTGAAAACGACCTTAACCCAAAACGTGAAGACCTCAGGAGCAGCCTGGAATTGCAAAGGCGAGGGCGGGGAGCGCGCTCGTGGTGGGTCTCTGTACCCAGCACGCACTGGCGTGGTCCCCGCACTGCAGGGCAGATCCCTCCCAGAAAGGAGGCGGCGGCGGTGGGGTCTTCCCGGGCTGCGTCGGGAACAGCCGTGTTTTGGCTGCCGTGATGGTTAATTTCACGTGTCCACTTAACGGGGCCACGGAATGCCTGGACCGCTGGTGGAATGCTATTCCTGGGAGTGTTTCCAGAAGCGATTAGCGTTTGGCTCTGCAGACTGAGCGGAGATGCGCCCTCACCAAGGTGGGCCGGCAACGTCCCCTCCGCTGTGGGCGGGAACCGAGCAGACGGGGAGGCGGGGGCGTCCCTCTGTCCTCGAGCTCGGACGCGCGTCTGCTCCTGCCCTCGGACGTCGGAGCTCCTGGCCCTGAGGCCTTCGGACTCAGGGGACTCACAGCAGAGACCCCACCGCCCCACCCGGCTCTCAGGCCCTCGGCGGGCTGAATCTCACCCCCGGACCCCCTGGCCTCCAGCGCACAGACCGCAAGCGAGGACTCCTCGGCCTCAGGTCACGTGAGCCAATTCTGTAATAAATCCCTCGAGTGTCTGTCCGTACACAGACGGTCCCCAACTTAGGACTTTTCGACTTTACAATGGGTTTATCGGGGCAAAACCCGGTCCAAAATCGAGGCGCCTCTGGGCTTACGAAGCTTCAACGCAATGATTTTTTTGACTTTATGATGAGTTTGTCAGAGTACCACGTGCATCTTTGACTCGCACGGCCCCGCCCTAAGTGGAAGAGCATCTCTACAGCTTGTTGGGTCCATCACCATGGAGACGGCAAGAGCATCTCAGCGGTACCTCAGGCTTCCTGAGATGACTGGCAGTCACCTCTCAGGACCATCTTCCTCTGCAAGCAGGGGTGGGGTGGGGGGCTGCTGTCCCAGCCCAGCCCACCCGTCCCCCTGACGAGGTCCAGCATGGGGCAGACAGTGGGTTGGCCCCAGGGCTGAGGTCACAGATAAATCCAGGTGGAACAAGCCTGGTTTCCTGGGTAGCAGTGGCTACAGGACCCAATGGAGGGTCAGCTAAATGCAGTCTCTACCCAGAGGTCACCCCGGATATGGCTTGTGGGGGGCCATGGGTCTAGTGACCGGTCAGCCTGGATTCTAGTCTTACAGACCACCCTGTCACAGGGTTGACAGCCAAGACCTTACTAAACGCAAACGTCCACAAAAAAAGCCACATGTGCCGGAGCCTCGTTAAGACATTCCTGAGACAAAGGCACGTGACCAACTAATCCACTAAATCCGTGGGTGGGGCCAGATGAGCAGTCCCCAGTGTGACCATGAACCCCTGGGGGTCTGACCAGCGGCGTGGGGCTGCAGGTGGCCTCCAGCCTGGACGCTTCTTTCTCGGTAGACAGGTAAGTGTTCAAGGTAGACAGGTAAGTGTTCAAAGTGACCGCAGTGGCTCCCTTTCCTGTCTTGGCCACTTCATCAGACTTGGTCATGCCAAGGATCCCAAAATTCAGGCCAAAACCAGTAGAGCAGCCTCAGGTCCCCGCCCCGGGCTGGCTCCCAGAAGCAGCTGTGCACAAATGGCAGGACCTCGTCCAGGCAGGGCACTGCCACGGCTGGATCGGGGTCAGTAAACCCAAAGGCCAAAGGTCAGTAGCGGTCTTGCCTCAGGGTGCGCCAGGCCACGGGCTCGAGGTGCCCGAGAGAGAAGAGGGAGACGCCTGCCTCTCACCTGCCCCCACCCCAGCGGCGCTGGTGACTTGCTGGATTCGTCACCGATTGGTGAGAAAATATTTACATCTGCTGAGAGCCAGGATCCATTTGCTCAATAAACATTTGGGGTGCTTGGAGCCTTCCCTCACTTCCCCGGCCTGCTGGGATAGGCTGGGACTCCCGTGACCCCCGACCCCTTGCAGCTGGGCCCTCCCCCGGGGGGCTGGAGGACACAAGCTCTTCCCGTTGGGGTGTGACGGACCGGCTCTCGATACTCGAGGTTCTCTCCGAAGCTCCCCCGTGAGTCCTGGGGAGACCATCGGCCCTGGCCCAGCTTCCCTGAGGAGCGCCGTCCTGACGCCAACCTCGGCACCACCCAGAGGAGTCACCACGGCCGAGACGCACCAAGTGCTCAGAAAGGAGCTGAGCAGGGAACAGCGCAAGAGGGTGCTGGTGGCCTCCGCCAGGGCCCTGGGCAGCTTCCAGACCAGAATCAGGAGCCGGGTCCAGCCCCGGCCAGGGCGCCAGTGCAGGGCAGCTGGTGGCAGGTGACAGAGGTGGCAGGGCCTCCGGCCAGGCCCCCAGAGTCCTACTGAGGGAACCGCACCCCAGCTCTCACACGGCGGCCAGCTGGCTCCGTTATGGTGCAGGGGACCTGTGCCAGGTGCAGATGGGGGATCCTCATCCCCCACTGCTGGGACTCTGCCTTCCAAGCACCCCAAATCCATGCCCTCTGCTCATCTCTTGACCCATCATTCCTCACCAGCTCCCCTCATGCCCCCCAATCTGCCTCTGAGTCAGGGTCCCAGGCTCTTCCAAAAGCACAAGGTGGAACTTGTCACTCTCCTGCTTAAAGCTCCCTCTAACCGGGCTCGTGATAAAAGCCAAGTTCTCAGCTGCTCCCCACGGCGGCCCCGCCCACCCATTCCCCACCAAACCCCTCACCTTTGCTTTGTGGGTTCAAGCCACAGGGACCTCCCCTTTTAGGTCCTCAAATGCCACGGTCTGGTCTTGTCTCAGGGCCTTTGCACGTGCCGGGCTGCTCCCTCTGCCCTCCAGGGCGGCATGTCCGTCAACCTCTCAGTCCTGACCCAGACACCGTGTCCCCTGAGTGACCTCCCCGACAGCCGGCCCTGGATCCAAGGAGGCCCTCTGTCGTTCCCTCTCACAGAGCGTGCTCTGTCCTGTCGGGGGCAGCAGGGTCCCCTCGGGGAGCTGGGTAGGGACTCCCAGAGACGACGTGGGTCCCCCGGGAGGGTGCAGCACACAGGACCTCCTAGCAGCCAGGCCCCGTCCCACGTCTACAGTTATCTCTAGGCTTCTGCCTCCTGCCCGCCCCTCCCCGGGGGTTCTGGAGACAGGACCCCCCGCCCGCCCCCCGTGTCACTTCCGGCCCCAGGACCCAGCGTGGCTCCACCAGAATCCAGGGAGGTGTGTGGGGAGGGACAGGCGGGGACAGCCCAGCAAGTTCT